GAGGAAGGAGCGGAGAATGGGAAGTTAGCTCCACCTCCTGGAAGGGGCCTATCTACACATGTGAAATTCTTCTGTAAGGAAGATTGTCCTTCCCTGTTTATGTATTTCCTGAAGCATGTATTTATATCAGTATGAACTCATGTATATTCAGTGTGTACTTTGGTTGATGACCCGGTACTACATCGTCTGTCTTGTTGCTCAAATAACTCCAGCCGTGGCCACTGGGCGCTCGCTCTTTCGGGTTGGTTGCCGTGTCCTTTGACATGTCCCCACCCGTGGCTTTTGAGGACCTCCTTACTTTCCACAATTATAAGACGTGCCAGGCCTGTCATGCATTTTCCCAGCCCGAACCCCCAGAATCAGCCAAAGGCCTTTTTACTTGTGCTCCATCTGCCAGTTTTTCCATGAAGTTCAGCCAGCGAACGCCCACAGCGCGTACCAGGCACCGCTGGCTGTGGCCAGCACCCCGCTGGTAAATGTTTACCAAGCAGCTCTCTGAAAAAAAGTTAAGTAAGCATAGAAAGAACGTGTAACACATTCTCTACAAATAATAATAAAAAATACACTACTCTATGCCGTACATTCCATATAGCCCGTCGACTCCCACAGCACGCTTTCACTGACTTTGCCTGAATGCTGACACCCATAGCCAACGTACCTTCGCGACTGATGGATGAGTGAGTGAGTCCCCAACCTGAACGTGGGTGGATATCTTTGCCTTGATGAGCGAGACAAAAGTGAAAGGAGAACGATGTATGCTGGACCTTCACGTGTTTATCCATGACCTCTTTGCTGTACCAGATAACAGTTTTCAACTACTTCCTCAGTTTTACGTGCTACTCGTAATGGCTCCAGACACAACATGCTTTCATATAATTTACATTGTTATATACATACATTTTCTCCAGAACCTTCCTAAGTGTAGATGAGCAGGGAGGAAAAAAAAAAAAAAAAAGGTCAAACTTTGATTGACAGTGTTTCCTGGTTTCTGCGGTGCAAGTATTCCCCCCACGGCCAATGTCAAGCGACCAGTGAGACATCACTGGATACAGGGGTGCGGAGACGAGCGGTAGCACACACACACACACACACACACACACACACACGTAGAGTTAAAGGACCTGGAGAGCATGAATAATAATAAAATATAGTACGATAATTAGGAAGGGTGAGATTTAACTATCTGTTAACCTTTGTTTCTAATATCATTTAATTGGATGTTTATGTAATTTAATTTTTATGAATGGCTGTGTTTATTCACCGGTTCGAGAAATTGCTGGGCGCTTAGTAACTGGCTCTCATGAGCTGGTAGTGGCTGGCCCCTGTGTCATCCGCTGGTACAGGGGACATGCCCTGGTCCTGCCCGCGTGGAGGCTGGGGTCCTCCGAGCCGCGTCCAGCATGTGGCACGTACCATAGGATAACACTTCCCTAGAAGAGTTGTCGGTGTTCCTAGAAAATCCTGTTTCCAAGCAGCCCGTGCAACTTGTGGTTGTTCACCTCATTTTTTTCTTATTTTCTTTTTTGTGTCTTAGAAAATCTCCTATTCCCGACCACTTAAGACCCTTTGGTGAGTTCGGAAAGTGGGTACACCACTATGACTTCGAGTAGCCTCGAAGCTCTGAGACCACAGGTGTCAGAGTCAAACAGCATCACTGCTTCCTGGCTTTGGGGCCTTGGGCAAGTCACTCAACCTCTCTGAGCTTCAGTTTCTTGATTCACAACCCTGGGGGGTATACATGTATCCCCATCTCCGGCATTATTCTGGCTATCGGATGGGAGCACGTGTGTTAAGGGCACAGCACAGTCTCTGGCATGTGTGCGCCTTCTTGACCTGGTGGCTCATAGTAGTCGAAGCGTCAGCAGTTAAGACAGCAGAGCACGCGGCAGGCTCTCCAAGGGCAAGGTCTACCCCACTCTCCCCCCAGCTCCCAGGCTTCCTGGCAGACTCTGTGTGTCCTGTGGGTGCCTTATATGCTACCCTTGATCCCTATACCTTGATCGTTTTGGAGTGTCCCACTCAACCTGCACCCTTTACAGGGCTAGAGGCGCATATTGGAAAGATAACACAAAGAACGGATAGATAATTTTTTAAAAATGGATTATGTTTTCTTGAGTAAATCATTGACGGGTATTTGTTCAACGCTCATATAAATCCAGCAGTGGGTGTGTCGTGATTAATCCAGGTGGTTGACAACCTGCTATCTGAAAGATGGCGTAGATGAAATCGGGAGCATAACACATGCTCCCCCCAAAACAGAACAAAACAAAACAAAACAAAAAAACACACAACATGCCATATGGTCAGAGAATAGGGAGGAAAGAAAGAAAAAAAAAAAAGAAAAGAGGAAAGGCATCAGCATGTATTTTTAAACTAAAATTCCTAAAAACAGACTTCTTGATAACTGACCTTGACCCCAAGCTCTGTGTACATTCTAACAGGAGCACAGCCCAGAACGTGCTTCTAACGTGAGTCTTTTTCTTGTGTTTGCTTTACCCCTGCCTGTTTCCTTATAGTTACTGGCAGCAATTTCTGAGAAAACTTTGACCTTGCTTATTATAGAGCAAGCATGCCAGCCAGAGAACATCAACTTTAACCTTCCAACCAGAGCCACCCTCTCACTCTGCAAGCTTGAGAAAGAAAGCAAAAAGCTTCATAGTTTTATTTTTGAACCCGAAAAGCCAGTTGGGAGTCTTTGCTGCATTTACGTGTCTCTGGCTCCTTCCCCTTTAAGGACCTCATCATTAGGGCTCCGTGCTGCTCTAGCTGGCCTCATGGGGCACCTCCCAAGCCAGGGCTCAAGGCCAGCTTCCCAGCTGGCACCACCGTGTTCGCAGCAGCATGGCCACGGTAGCCAGAGTGGAAACAACCCAAGGTGCCCACTGACGCTGAACAGATAAAATGTGGGGTATACAAGAAGGTGGGTTATACTGCCACCTGCTACAGCGCGGGCGGACCTTGAGGACAAGATGCTCAGTGAAATAAGCCCGTCACCAAAAGACAAAGGCTATATGATTCCACGCACCCCAGGTACCTGGATAGTCTGATTCATAGGGCCGGGAAGTGGAATAGAGCAGGGGGCGGTGCCAAAGGCTAGGGGAGGGGGAAGAGGATATTGTCGTTTAATAGGGACAGAGTTTCAATTTTGCAAGATGGAAGCCTTCTGAAGATCCAGCAATGGGGTTGCCTGGGTGGCTCAGTGGTTGAGCGTCTGCCTTTGGCTCAGGTCGTGATCCTGGGGTCCTGGGATCGAGTCCCGCATCGGGCTCCCCATAGGGAGCCTGCTTCTCCCTCTGCTTGCGTCTCTGCCCACCCCCTCTCTTTGTGTGTGTCTCTCATGAATAAATAAATAAAATCTTAAAAAAAAAAAAGTCCAGCAATGTGAGTGTCCTCACACTCCTGAACCATACACTTAAAAACGGTTACAGTGGCGAATTTTATGTCGTGTAGGATTTACCACAATAAAAACAGCAACCGCTTCCATCTCCCCGTGCCTGGGCCCTGCTGCCTCAGGTGGGCTACCTTCTCAGGTCCCGCAGGTGTCTTCAGATCGTGGTGTCCAGCCACGGCTCCCTGGGGCCCCTTGGCTCTCAGTGGGTCCCACCACTGAGCCAATCACTGGGGCCAGGGAGTGGGATTGGCTGAGTGCTCTCTCAGCCCGGAGCCTGATTTCTCTGAGCACTGATCTCACCGACTCCAAGTATTTGGAGGGCACGCTCAGGATTCTCGACTTGCTGGACCTAAAAGCTCAGTTCAGGAGCCTGAGCAAGCAGAGAACCTTCCTCTTGAACAAAATCCATCTGAAGCTGTAGGGAGCTCTGCAAGCCGGTGCTCATATTTCGGAAGTGCCTGCCTCTTACTTTGTGTCTCTGAGCTCTTATTCTCCCGTCTGTAGGAGAAATGTGAGCCCAGGGAGGAGTAGACATGTGCCCTGCAGAGGGGACAAATATTTGAACTTAGTGGGGTTTTTTCTGCCAACAGAGGGGGAGAGAGGAGAGAGACACACAGACAGACAGACAGACAGGGGTCATCAGACCTCGATCTCAGCTCCCGACCCACCACTACCTGAGCCTGGGTAAATTCCTTACCCTCACCAAGCCTTGTTTATGAAGTAAGAATCAGGAGGCCTCCTGCTCGGCGAGAGGAATGGAGGAAGGATCAGGAAAGAGCAATAAATGACCGCCGGCCCCAATGTCCTGGTCTAACCACTAGGCACAGGGGGAAGCCAGGTGTCAGCACCTCTCGGCACATGCTTGTCCACAGTTAGATGGACTTGGGTGTGCTTCCCACTGACGGCAGCTGCGGACGGGTCAGATGACGAAACATCCCCCCGGCATCTCCCAAGAATCAGATGTGATAGGTGTTGAAGATCAAAGGTCAACGCGACCGCCGGGACCCCTGCCCAATCCCAGAGCTCTCGGCTTCGGAGGACAGAAGGCGTAGAAGGGCCTGATGGATGGGCAGTTGTGGGGGGAAGGAAAGCGAGCTGAGGGCCCTAGAGCTGGGCCTGAATCTCAGTGATTTGTTCATTCGTTCTTTGAACCAGTATTCAAGGGCCTGCTCTGAATGTGCCGGCGCACTCGTTCCAGGTGCTGAGGCTACAGGGGGAGCAAGATAGACAACAGGCCCTATCCTCTTAGAGGTGACATTTGTCCAGCTCAGAGGCCCCCTGGCAGTCGGCGATCTTGGAAAGTCACGAGGTCTTGCTCAGCCTCAGTCTTTTGACAGAGCATCCGGTGTACCGAATAGGGCCATGCAGGTGAATCTCTTGGTGGCGTGCCTGGCACGAAGGCGGCGCCCAATTAATGGTGGTGCAGTAGTGTGCAATGCGACCCACGGTGGGAACCACCATCCCAAACTGGGGGAGAGTCTGGGAGGGCTTCCTGGGGGAAGAGACTTATAAGCCGAGCCCTATGGTGACAATTATAGGGCTGAGACGAGGGTGGAGACCACTCCCAGCTGACCGGAACCTCCTCTGACCCTCTTGTCTGCCCCTGTAGGTCTCCTTCCCATGGATGAGTGGCCCGGTACCTTGGCCAAGACCACAGCCACCTCGGGCCATGCAGCAGCCGAAACAGTCACCCTCTCCACCACAGATGCCCTTCCACTCGAGCATCCGGCCAGCACCAGCACAGAGGAGCTGGTCCCAGGGGTTTCCCAGACCCGCCATGGTCCCGCCTGCCTCCCACAAGCGGCCTGTGAGTGCCGGCGGGAAGATGTTCTCCTTCGTGGTGGACAGCACTCACAGGCCGCCCATCATCAAGCAAGGTATTCACGCACGCTCCCGCGGTGGCTTTGGGGACGGGTTTAGAGCCACAGCATGAGTCTTGGTTTTTGCTTATTTGCTCCAATTCTAAAAGTAGAACGGAGTCAAATGTGAGAAAATCAGAGATGGGGCGTCAGGATGGTTCAGTCAGGAGTGTCTGACTCTTGACCTGAGCTCAGGTCTTGATCTCAGGGTGGTGAGTTCAAACCCCATGTTGACAAAAGCCCAATGTGGAGCCTACCTAAAAAAATTAAAAATTGGGGGATGGAGCACCTGGGTGGCTGAGTTGGTTGGTCTTTGGCTCAGGTCATGATCTCAGAGTCCTGGGATTGAGCTCTACATCCAGCCCCCTGCTCACCGGGGATTCTGCTTCTCCCCCCCCCCCCCGCCGCTGCCATTCCCTACCCCCACCCCTGCTTGTGCTCTCTGGCTCCCTGTCAAATAATTAATTTAAAAAATTTTTTTAAATGGGGATAAACAGAAAGTAAGAAAATAGTTAAATTTCATTTGTCACCCTCATCACCCAATAACCTCTGTTGACTTTTTGGGGCCTATCCCTCTAGACCTTGTGCTCTGACATATGCACACATCAGCAGCCCTGTGGCGAGGGTGTGGGTGTGGGTGTGGGTGTGTGTCGGTGTGTGCGTGTGTGCTCACATAGGAATGCGTAGCAGGATGCAGACTTACAACTTTGACTCAGATGTGCAGAAACATTGGCAACTGAAATCCCCCTTGGCCACAACAGCCTCCGGAGTTTTTTAAATATTTTATTGCCATTTTACAGGTGAGAGGAGGCTGAGGCTTATCGAGGAATATTACCTCCCGATGTGACATATTCAATCTAGTCCAATCTCACATTTTTCAGTCAAATTTAAGGCCGATTACCTCAATCACTGTCACCGTCACTCACAGCCTGGTCACTCTGGGGGCCAGCTTTCATGGTTTCCCTCCCTCACCCTCTTCCATGGGGGGGGGGCTTCCTGCCTGTCGCTGTCCTCTTGGCCTCAGCAGCAGGCTTGACTTGATCCCTGGCATGATTGCAGCTTCCTCCAAACCTGTGATGTGAAGATCCCATTCTCTGTCCTCTGCACCCCAGCTCCAGGCCCCGCCTCCCCCTCTGTGTCTCCACATCCTCCCCTGGTCTCACTCAAGACTATTCACCTGGTCACCTCCCTCAGCTATTCAAATAATAGTTGTTGTCGTGAAATAAGCAAACAGAGGAGTAGGTGCAATGCAGTTACATCATCTTCTTCTTCTTCATCCAAAAAAAAAAAAAAAAACCCTTATGTGCCATCCACACCAAATGAAACTACTCAGCCATTTCCCCCCTACCTCCTATAAATATGAAAATCTTCAAACACAGAGCAAAGTAAAAGCAATCTCCCACCTAACTCCACCATTAACACTTTGCTGTACTCTTTGTGTATCTGTCTATCCATCCTTCTATTCATTCATTAATCCATCTTATTTTTTGGTGCATTTGAAAATAAACTGCACACATGTAGTCTTGCCTCTTAATATGTTAGTTTATATACCATTAACCAGAGTCCAACAGTTTTTGTCTTTTGGTTTGGTTTTTTTTTTTTCCAGTTTTTGTCTTTTTGATGTAAAACTAACATGCAATGTATATGTTATCAATCACTGCATGACAAACTCTCCCAAAACTTAGTGGCCTAAAAGCAAAACAAAAACAAAAACCCCAAACATGAATTATCTGGTATAGTTTCTGCAGGTCAGGAATTTGGGAGCCGCTTAGCAGGGTGGCGGTGGTTCAGGGTCTCTTATAAGGTTGCAGATGAGCTGTCAGCCGGGGCTGCAGTCATCTGAAGGCTTGACCAGGGCTGGAGAATCTGCTTGCATGATGGCACCCTCAATGGCCATTGGCAAGAGGCCCCAGGTCCTCATCATGTGAACCCATCCAGAGAGCTGCTGGAGTATCCTCAGTGAAGAGCAGTTGGCTCTTCCTAAGCAAGTGATCCAAGAGAGCAAGATGGAAACTACAGCATCTCTTAGGACCAAACCTCAGAAGCCACTCTGTCATTTCTGCAAGATCCTATTGGTGACACAGGTCAGCTCTATCCAGTGTGGGGAAGACTTCCCATGGGCCTGAACGTTAGGAGGCAAAAATTATTGGCAGCCCTATCTTGGAGCCTGGCTACCGCAATGTGCCCTCTGGTCCTCAGTGATTCACACCCCCCCCCACCTCACTTGTCTAATTCCTTCCCCCTCTCCCGAGTTCTTACAAAGTCTCACCCCATCCCAGCATCAGCCTAAATTCCAGGATCTCATCATATAAATCAAGTCCAGGTACTAGTCACTGGGGCTAGTTCCTTAAGTTCAGCTTCTCAAGTCCCATTTCCAGCAGTCTGAAGGTCTGTGCACTAAAGAGATGGGTTGTCTGTCTTTCACACGCCCAACGTACACTGGTGGGCCAGGCATAGCATACTGCGGTGGACACGCCTTCTGTTCAAAAAGGAAAAACAAACACACAGGAGTCCTTTCAGTCCTTCAGCAGTTCTGAAGTCCAGCCAGGAAAATGTTTCAAGGTCCCTGATTAGGACTTAGGCCTATTCTTGCTCAGAAATGACCCTCCGTGGCTCTTGCCTTTGCCCTCTGGCTCCTTGGATCAGCCCTGTGAGTCCTCCTATCTTTTCCATGAAAGGTATCACACGTTTGCAACTGCCTGGTTTTATAGTCAGCTACCTGCCTATAGACATGAGGACTTCTTCCGTTTTTGTGCGTCTCTGCCTCCAGCAGTCCACATTGGTCATGTTCCTTATTGAGGTTCACCCTAGCAGGCAAAAGCCATGCCCACATATTCCTTTGACACAGGCCCTCCTCCGCCCTGGGCTTCTGCCAAGAGTGGGAGGGATAGCACTCCGTAGAAGCCCTGGGCCCAAATCAATCTCTGAGACACCGGCTCCGATGGTTCTACATTCTCGACAAAGGATATTAAAGGTTTTACACTCAGCTTCGTCTTCAGAGCATGTTTTCCTGAGAGTGGTCTGATTTGATCTTTGCCCAGAACCTGTGTCTTAGGTTTCATTTGCCACGCGGCGAGGCAGAGAATCTTCCAGCCCAGTCGAGTCCCAGCTTCTTGTGATTCAACGTCCCTCTGTTGGCCGCTCCCCCCTCCCACGGTTCACAGGAAGTGCCAGGCTCCGTCACCCAGTTCATCGGGAACATTTTCTACTTCCCCCATCACCACAGGCAATGTGTTACAGAACTTCCTGCCACCGCATGTCAGGGATCCTTATAAGAAGAGAGAGATCAGGGATGCCCACACGTGGAGGAAAGGCCATGTGAAGACACAGAAAGAAAGTAGCTAGCTACACCAACCCCGATGGCATCTTGACCTTGGACTTCTAGCCTCCGGACTGTAAGAAATACAATCCTATTGCTTAAGCTGCACAGTCTGTGGCATTTTGTTATGACAGCTGAGCTGACCATTGCAAAGCCCGCCCACTGTTGGAGAGGACAATCCACGGGTGTGAATACCAGGAGATAATAACCCTTGGTGCCATCGTGGAGGCTGGCCGCCACACAGAGACACCCAGTCCAAATCCTAAAGACACAATTAAGGTGCACACATGCTGTACACACTTGCTCCGGAGAATTAGCTGATAAGTTTCAGGAGAGCCAGACGGTTGTTAAAGCACGGAAACAACTTCTCTCCCATTTGGCAAATAGGTGCAGCTTGAAACTTCCTAAAGCACCTCTGTCCGCCCCCCCCCCCCCGCCCCATGCCTTCCCACTGCCCCAGCCATCCCGTCCCTCCCTTAGAATCCTCCCCACGGGGATCTCCAAATGATCCAGCAGCTAGAGGGTTTGTTTTGAACTGAGACAAGCCAGTTTGGTCATACATGGCCCTTGGGTTCTCATTGAAAGGTAACAGGAACAGTAAAGACGTTTGGGGTGGGCGGGGGAGACTGCTCCAGCCCCTCTCTGCCCGAGTGTAAGGAAAGCAAGTCTCAGATAATGCTGCCTCCAGTAGCAAAGGGGTCCCAAACCTCACTCAGCCTGTTCTGTAGGTTTGATCAAGTCCAGGCTCTCTGTCCTTTAAGGGCTCCAGCCATCACCTGATAGAAAAGGCTCAGTCAAGACAGCCAGGACAAGGTCACAGAGGCATCTAGAGTTATCTAAACCAAGCCTGAAAAAAAAATTAAATTAAATTAAAATTTAAAAAAATAATAAACCAAGCCTGAACCCAAGTCCCTCCTGGGGAGCATGAGGGAGGGGCTGCCCAGTGCTTCAGCTCACCTGCAGGCAGTCTCTTCCTCCTTTTGGCCACTGGGAGCCTGTTCATAGAGCATGCACAGTAATGGGCCACCCTTTTTTTACCAACAAAAACTCATTTATGGCCTTCGGCTTGCTAATTTGGAAAGTGTCAAGTGTCATAGCTGCCTCTGGACTGCACCTGTCCAGTGTAATGCTGCCCGGCCACCCCAGGCAGGGGGACTCCTGATTAGGGCGACTGACTTCCCCTAGGCTGAAAGGTAAACAACTTGCTATATATAGCATCAAACAGACTCCGCTGAATGTTGAAAAAATAAGCCACAGGCCTTGCGACAGACATTAATGTGCCACAGGGGCTTCCAGAAGTCGGCTGGACGTTATAGTCAAAAGCCTGCGCCATAGAATTATTGGTTTTTTGTTTTGTTTTGTTTCGTTTTGTTTCGTTTTTTGAGATCCCACTTCTCCTGTATTCCTTTCAAAAAAAAGTCCAGTTATAGATATTAGCAGGAAATGAGACATCAAGTAAAGAAGGAGGAGCACAAGAGGGAAAATGTTCTAGGCCTGTGCTTTCTGGTGCAGTAGCCACCAGCCACACGCAGACTGAGCTAATGTAGCTAATGTGACAGAGGAAATAAATGTTTAATTTACATTAATTTAAATTTCAAGACCGATACCTGATTCAGTTATTGGAAGGCTTGGAGCATGCCTGGAACATCTTGAGTATGCAAATCTACTTCTTCAACTGCACGTTTTTTTGTGAAACCCAAATACAGATCAAGTCTTCCCATTGAAAATTTAGCTTCCAAATTGAAAGGCAACGTAAGTGTAAGATGAACCCTGAGTTTCAAAGACTTAGTGCCCAGAAGAAAAAGAATGTAAAATATCTTGATCTTTTTGGTCTTGATGATGCGTGGAAATGATCATTTTTTAATGTACCGGGTTAAATAGAATATATTTCGAAATCAGTTCCACCTTTTTCTTTTTTTACCTTTTTAATGTACCCAGTACTAAATTTAAAGTTTAAATTGTCTTATGTAGCTCTCATTATTTTTCTATCAGACTGCACTGCTCAGTGACCCTCCCGGGGAAGGCCTTCTGCTGCCCCTTATTCCACCCAGCTCTTGCCCCCTTCCGTCACCGTCACCCTTAGCAGACAGCTGCCTTCCAGAATTCCTGGGGAGGAAGCAGGAAGGAATTCCACAGAGAGAGGGAGTCGCCCGGGCCCAGGGCCCACCCACTCCCCACGCAGGATGCTGACCCAATGTGGAAGACACATTCTCAGGGGTGGTGTGAGCACACCTGCTGTCCGAGCTGTGAGGCCAGCGCCCCCAGCAGGCCCTCTTCCCTAAGCCCTGCCCGTCCACAGCCCTGTAGGCCTCCATCAGAGACAGGAAGCCAACTGCGTAGGTGGGTAGGAGGGGAGCTTTCTTTTCTGGACTATTTCTAGGGGGACCAGATGGTTTTGCATGGACTGTGCACCATGGAGTGTCTCCCTTCCTGTTGATTGCCAAGGACTGGGTTAGGGACTCACTTGATGGAGTTTTAGCAGCTGCCTAATGAAACTGGTAAAGGGACCAAGTGTCCTGCTTTGCCAGGCACTGCGGGGCTTCCTGAGATGGGGGACTCTCAGTACCAAAGCCAGGAAGAACCCGGGCAAACCGGAATCAGGCATGTTCCTTCTTGCTCCAGGGTCTCAGGCCACGTTCCTCCAATGGGACTGGAGACTGTCCAATGTCTCCCACTGGTCCCGCCCACTGCCCACTCTGGGCACTCGCTGTCCCTTCCACCTAGAATGCTGTTTCCTCCCCTCTACACTTCATGAAGTCACTTGCCTTTCAGTGCATGGCTTGAGTGTCACTCCCTCAGGCGTTAGCCGGGGAGAGGGTGTGACCCCAGGTCCAGCCACACCAGGAGGTGTACCCCAGACGGTTCTGGTGCTGACACAGGGAGGATGGATGAGAGCCCCTTTCCTTCCACACGCCCGGGACCACTCATCCAACACACAAGGCCACGCATTCACCAAGCACCACGGGCCTTTGACTATGTCCACTCATGCTGCCGACAAACACATCCAAGACCTGGGGGAGAAAATCATTGGCTCTGAAATCCATAAAGAAAAATGTGGAATCAAAGTGAATAAGTGATGAAATAAATGTCCACAAATGTGACAGTGCGTACTTCATTAATTGTTAATGGTAACATTCATTAATGTTTCATCACCTTTGAAAACAATTGGTTCAATTTCTCACTTCACAAGAAGACAAGAATGTGCGGTGTATGCCCAGAAATCCATCAATGGGAAATTTCAAACGTGCCGCTTAGAGCCAAATGATCTCAAAAGCAGGAATATAGAAATCTTCTCAAAAGTTTCTACACCAAAAAAAAAAAAAAGTTTCTACACCAAAACAAACTTATTTGGTGTTAATGTGAGTGAATCATGGTATGTTTGATGGAAAAAAAAAAGCAGGAAAACCTAAATGTCTACCAAGTGGATCCAAGTTAAATATGTTTGGCACATTCATACATGGACTGTGGTGCCTGGCTGGCTCGGTCCATGGAGCATGCAACTCGATCTCAGGGTCATGAGTTCCAGCCCCACGTTGAGTGTGGAGATTACTTAAAAATAAAATCTTGGGGCACCTGCGTGGCTCAGGCAGTTAAACATCTGCCTTCAGCTGAGGCCATAATCCCGGGGTCCTGGGATCGAGCCCTGTGTCGGGCTCCCTGCTCAGCGAGGACATGCCTGCTTCTCCCTCTCCACCATCCCCAAGCTGGTGCTCACTCTCCCTCTCTCTCTCTCTCTCTCTCAAATAAATAAAATCTTTAAAAAAAATAATCTTTTTTTAAAAAAGAACATAATGAAGGGGATTAAAAGGCACAAACTTCTAGTTCTTAAAAAAAAAAAGCATAGCTACAAATATGGACATTGGAGGATGTTTTTGATATGTTGTCAAGTGAAGAAGCAAGCTGGGGAAAAATCTCTGCAATAGAAATCCATTTTTGGCTTTTTCTTTAAGGATATAATTGCAATAAAAATCGCTAACGTTTAGTACTTAATGTAGTCCTCGGGGGCGGGAAGCTTCTTCTGGAAAGAGAGGCTTTTTCTGTAAATATTTTAGGCTCTGCGGCTATACTGTCTCTGTCACAGCTACGCAGCCCTGCTTTTGTAGCTGGAAAGCAGCCACCGACAGTATGTCCATGAATGACTGTGGCTGTGTTTCAGTAAAAGTTTACTTACAAAAACAGCTGGGAGGCCAGATTTGTCCCTGGTGCCATAGTTTGCCGACCCCTGCTCTACACCGTTACTGCACTTCATCCTGAGTGCCCTTGATAACAGTGCCCTGTATAACATGTAAGTTAGGTAACTAAGGCTTAGAGAATAAGTGGCCTGCCCAAGGTCACCAGCTCTTGCATGATGTAGCAAAAAAGCCTAGCAAGGGACCCGCCAAAGCGAATCGGCACGGTTACCCCTGAAAAGGGGAGGGACAGTCCCTTCCCTTTCTGATACTTCAGTGATGCCTTCTTCATCGCTTTGCAATGAATGTAGACATCGCCTTGCAGTGTTTCACAGCAGCAGGGAAAGAGTTTGAAAGTAGTCTAAAAATATCCTTCCCGACCTCGGGGACACTCACAATGTCCTGTGTGCTCTCTGTCGATCCCGTGCGTTAGTGTGGACCGATGCTGTGGAGCTGTCGGAACAGTCAGTGGTCGAAGGAATTTCCAGGGCAGGACCTTCCAGGGACATTTACGTGGACCGGGACCCAGCCCAGCAGGATAAGGTGAGGGGTCTCGGGAAGGACAGAGCTATCGCAGCAGAAGAGCCTGCGGAGGGATTGCCTCTTGTCCTCTGGGCTCTAGAAGTGCCTTTTTCACTACATCCAAGAAACCACCTTTTAGTCCTGGGACATTCAACCAAAAGTTTGATAACTGCTCATTTTATCCCAAATCACAACATCTACAAGCATGAGGCTTTGAGCACCTACCGCGGGCTGGACTGTGTCCTGTGCCCTTAATGTTCAATTGGCTCATTAATCTTCACCGGCTCCAAAATAGGTGTTATCCCCCTCACTTTACAGATGAGGGAGCCGAAGCTCAGAGGGGTTCAGTAACCTGCCCAGGGTTGCACCCTGGGAGGGCAGCGCTGGGATTCAAGCCAAGGGCTGGTTAACTTGGAGGCGGGCACTCCTGACGCCCACACGGTGACCTTGAGTGGTGGGACAGTGGTGGGGAAAACCTGTTTCCTGCAGGAAGAAGTGAGCACTGACGTGGAGGACTGAGCCAGGACAGAGGCTCCCTGAAGAACCAGAGAGGTTTAGGATGAAGTGAGAGTGCGAGCCAGAGCAGGTGAAGCCCAGCCATGCTGGGAAGGGTCCAGGGTGATGTCTCCTTCCAGAGACACAACCTGAAATTAGCCTAAGAGGAGCAGTCCTGCGATGTCATACCTCCTTCAAGACCAGGACCTGAGCCTGTGGCAATTCTCCGCATTTGTGAGGAGCAGAACCATTTGGGGTCCTGGAGAGCCGTGGGCATCGGTGACTGCAGGTGGCAGGTGTGCCCAGAGCAGACCTTGGAGAGGTGTTGCCGTGGGGCGAGCAGCCAGGCTCGGATGCTGTTACCAGTTCTCTACGGCTGCGTGCAAGCCGCCCCAACACTTAGTGGCTGAAAATGGCAATTTATTGGGTACCCGGCTGGCTCAGTCAGTAGAGCCTACGACTCTTGATCTCAGGGTCAAGAGCTCAAGCTCCACATTGGGCATGGAGCCTACTCAAAAGACAAACAAAAACAAACAACCCAGCAACTTATTACTCCCCAGAATTGACAAGTTGACCTGGAAGCTTCTTCTGCTGGTGTCCCCTGGCTTCACTCATGCCACTGTCATCAGCCAGTGGCATGGCCCAGCTGGTGGTCTCGGATGGCCTCATTCCCACGTCTGGGACCTCAGCCGGCGTGCCTGGAGTGATGGGCCCCTCTCTGCACTCGGTTTACCATCCGGGGCTTCTTCACTGGCCCGAGCCTCCGGGAGGGCCAGAACAGAAGCTGTAGGGCCTTCTAAGCACTTGTCTGGAGATTGTTCTTCAGCACTTCTGACCTCTACTATTGGTCAGAGCAAGACACAGGACCAGCCCTGATTTAGGGGCTGGGGACGTAGCTTCCACTACTGTGGTCGTTTCTCCATCCACCCCAGTTTTAAACTGGAAATAGAATCGCAGCCACATTTATAATCTTTTCTATTTAGAAACCATTTATGCCCTGACTTTCCAGGATTCCTTCAAATGCAGGTGCCAATAAGCACATTAGCTTAAGGGAGGAAAAAAAAAAGAAGGCATTTTTGGGGGTCATCTTCTTAAAAATGTTTAAAGCCCGCTAGTTTCAGGCACGGCTAGATACAGGAGCTTGAGTGAGCATTTCAGCGTGCTCTCTCCTCCCCATCTCTTCCCTCTGTTTCCCTCCAAGTTTGGCTTTTTGCAACACACTGGCTTCGTGGGAAAGGACAAACTCAGGCAAACCAGCGCATAAATTTAAAGTTTGGGATCCACAAGGAGGCAAGATCCTCTCCGTCTGTAATGGATGCATGAAATCTCTGAGAAAACCCTGGTTGTCCAGCTTGGGTCACGGGCACATGAGGAGGTGGGATGGGAAGGAGCAGGGCACGTGACCAATAGTCTTATCAAGACCCCATGGGAGGGAGAGCACTCTCCCCAGGAAGAGCTTGGGGTCCTCACAAAAGGCAGCAACCACGACTGTACACCACACCTTACGGGCTTCTTTATACTCCAGGGCCCAGCACAGGGCCTGGCACATAGTAGCTGCTCAGTAAATGTTTATTGCATAAACCTCTATTCACATATTGCACAGTGAATCCGCACCTGGCTGGCCGCAATCGGATGAAACAGGCACAGCTGCCCACGAGCGTGGGATCTGTTTGATGCTAACCCTTGAAATTTTGCCACAAGCTTTTGTAGGGATTCAAAGAAAAACGCTTGGTGGCAACTGGCAATGCCAGAGAAGCTTCCTCGTGATGGAAACCCTGCCCTTGGGTCGGGGAACTGGGAGGTCATGAGGCCAATTAGGCAGCTCCCCAGGAAATGAGTTGGCCTACAAATTACTCACTTACCTCCTTCCAACCAATGGAAAATTGCTGGAAGAGCAGGGACTATTTTAAAAGCAGAAATTCTGTAGCTGCATTTGAAAATACATCTGGGGACTTGTTTTTCAGTTTTTCTGACATTTTATTGATGACTTCTGGAGAGAAGATTGGTTTTTTTTTTTCTCTCTCTCTTTTGTGGGGAGAAGCCTAACAAATTCTTGGGTTGCAGAGCTCTTTCTTTTGGAGACATGGAGAAGTGGGTTAATTATGCCTGTGGGTAAAGTCGGCCGGCAATTTTTTTTTCCAACCCAAAGTTTACATGAGCCCACGCAAATAAATCACCGTTCCTGTCCCATTCGCTTTGCAGACTCAGTTATCTGGAGTAAATTTTTACGTGAATAACGCAAAGAGGCAGGAAACACCAGAAGGGAGGAAATGAAAATACATATTTCAGAATGTATTAAATTTTTTAAGTTGAATAATAGTCCTCACTATATGCAGGATGTGGTCAAATAGAGTATTGTCCTAACTACCTTTCCTGGGTCCCCACCGTGCTAGGCTGAATATTGTAAACAAAAACATTATAAATAAACTCCCCAGCAACAAAAGTTCCCAGGTCGGGTGGTGGTTCTCAACATGAAAGTATAATTTTACAGGAAAGGAAATTTTCAGCCTGTGAGGTATAAACATCTATTACAGGAGCCTGTATACAAGTATATCATTTTCACCAAACTCTTGTCTCTGTGAGGTTTTCCAAGTGGCAGAGACAACCTTGAAAGCCCGCTTCCTCCCTCCCCTCCCCACCCCCGTCCCCTTCCCAAGAGAATTACACCGTGTTTTCCTTATATATTTTTTTTTTTTAATGGGCTCGGTCTTGCCCGCGGACCCACACCTTAGTGAACTCCCCGTCTGGCCTCCACCCAGGATGAAATCATTCTGCTCCTGGGGAAAGAAATCAGCCGTCTCTCGGATTTTGAACTCGAATCCAAATACAAAGATGCCGTGATAGCAAACCTGCAGAATGAAGTGGCCAGCCTGAATCAGAGGCTGTCGGAGGCAACCACGTCCAGGCGAAAGTTCCAGGTTCTGGATGAAGACATCGATGACAAACAGAGTGAGATCCAGAGCCTGAAAAACCAGGTAGGACTCGGAGACAAGTTGGCAGAGGCCTTAGGGTCATGACACAGGGTGACAGCTCCCGGGTAGAGCCAGGGGAGCGTGGAAGGAAGCCCCCCAGGTAGATGGAAACGTGGTGGCCCTGGTAGTGTGGTGGGTATGAGCACAAATCCCAGGAACTGGGGGCATGGCCGGCTCCTACCCTACTAGTAGAACCACGGTAACTTCTGTTAAGCCCCCACAACGTGCAGGCACTGGGGCCGGTGCTGTAGGTTCATTGGCTCACATAAACCGCAGGGTCCTCTGACACGTGCCATTCCACAGACAAGGAGACTGAGGCAGGCTCAGAGCCCCCTGGGAACTTGTTCAGGTCACATAGCAAGTTAGAGGGGGCAGCGCATGGTAAACACGGGTCTGCCCCTTGCAGACCCTATGCTCTCACCCCACCTCCTGTCCCTACCCAACTCCCTTGCTTCAGTGACACTGTCTCTCACATCCACCCCAGCCGGGCTCCAGCAAGAGCTCTGGCCGGTCAGCTGGAGAGAGGGAGCAGAATCCCCCATCATCCAACCCCACCCTGAAGGCAGTTGCTGGTTCACTTTAGGGAGCTTCATCAAACAAAAATTCCCCTCCTAGAATTTCTGCATTATCCTTGAGACTAGTTAAAACTGGCCGTTGATCTGCTACATAAATTATATGTCAACAAAGTTGATTTGAAAAAACAACAAACTGGCCTGAATCGTGGCCTCGGTGCGTAATGTTGCCTAAGGCTGTGGTCATGCTTGGGGCCTCTGTTCTCTGCTTCCCTGTTCGCTGCCTTCCCACCCCGACCCCAACCAACTCAAGGTGCGTGGCCTCAATCCTAGAAACGGTGCCCCCAGGAAGGGACTTAGGTTGCTCAAGATGAACCTAGGAGATTCTACTGGGAGATCGTAAGCTCCATGACAGCAGGGAGTGGGCCCAGCTACCATCTAGAACGCTGATAGGACCGTGTCTGTTTGTCCATTCACTCAAGTAAGATTTGTGGGGTGCCTCTCTTGTCCCATGCCCTCTTCTGGGCTCTTCTCCTTTCTGGGAGCTTGTCTCTTTGCCCTGTGCCTCTGGTGTCATGCAAATGAAAGCCCGAAGCTGAGAAACGCTCTTAACTTGGCAGAGAATGAGGCAGGTATGATCTTTGCCTTCCCTCGGTTATGTTCTTAACAGGCATGAGACAGACTTAATAAGTGAATCTCATATTCACACAACAGATGACTCTCCGTTGGATGTGTTCTGGGAAAAGCAGTGAAAGTAGTAGATCCCATAGGAAGGACGACTTGACAGCTGCCTTGACAGGAAGCTGACTCCTTGACGAGCATCTTGTTCTTGATCGGAGCCCACTTTTGCCAATGGACAGAGTGACATCTCTTTGGGTTACCCTCCCATCTCAGAACTCTCCTGAGTACAAGTGGTGTGTCTTGCCCAGGTGCGCGGACACAGGTGAACGATTCCCACATCATCTTTTTTTTTTTTTTTAGTCAAATACATGTGACATATGCTGTGTGATCCTCACTTATCTTTGAACATCAGTAGGTCATGATTTGAGTCTTGCTGAAAGTGGCTGGTGATATCTGGAGCGGGGGGGTGGGGGAATGTTCACAAAGAAAGCGCCTAGAAATAATCACACCGATTCATCATACTGTCGCCTCCCCCCGGTTGATCGTCACTTGTAACTGAAAGAGACTATTTTGTTACAAGGCGCATCCGAACTGGAGGCCGCAGTGGGTCTGAACCCAAATCAAGTTGTATCAGCTCACATCGTCGTATCCTAAATACTGTACCACCTGCAGAACATTCAGCCACAGGTGTGAGCCCCGTGGCAGGTTGATTTATTGATCTGATTACTTTGTAGGCTCTTCCCCCGTCCCCCTGAAAGGGTGCGCGCCAGGACCTGCTCCCAGGGGTCTTCCATCTGCTACAGCATCTCTGGGAAGCGCCTGCCTCTGCGTGTTCTTGAAGGCCTGTGCTAATTAGCAGCCCAGTTATTCTCTCGAAGCCGTCCCCGTCGCGCTGTCCGCTTTCTTGCCACTCGGCGCCCATCATATTACACAGGACAGCAGACCTCGACCTTCTCGGGATTATGCCCATCACAGACGGTGTGGAGCCTTTCTTTCCCACCCGGCCCCAATCAATTCAAGGTGCGGGGCCTCAATCCTAGAAATGGTGCCCCCAGGAAGGGACTTAGGTTGCTCCAGATGAACCTAGGAGATTCTATTCCTAGAATCCGTTTCTTCGGAAAGAAACGAAGAGGTTTGAAGACCATTTGGAGTTTTCTTGTATTCGGAAATCCTAAAACCCCGAAGCATAGATTGAATTCTCTTCTATCTGTCAGAAGCAGAAGCACGGGCATCTTTGGGCAGGTGGGCATACGCTTTGCCATCCTTTCTGGGAGCTCGTCTCCTCGTGCTGTGGCTCTGGTGTCGTGTAAATAAAGGCACGAAGCTGAGAAGAGCTAGAAATGCCCTTAACGTACCTTTTAGGGGAAAGTTGCATGTCTCCCACAGAGAACAGTAAGAGGTGAAAGAAAAGTTTTGGCTCGAAGTCTCAAAAAGCACAAACATGCAAAAGTAGAGCCTCGGGGAGGGTGGAGGACAGAGTCATCTATGTCCCCACCACCTTCTGGCACATGCCCTCTTCCCAGCGTCTCAGATCCCCCAGGGAGAGAGGAAGTGTCACGGCCCCAGTTGTCACAGAACCTGGACAATGATGGTGCGTGAAATGAGCCAGGGAACTTGTGACACCTTGATCCTTCTGTTAAGTCTACCAGAGTAAGAACGACAAGGGCTTCAGGGACAGAAACCGGGACCGAGGACTGTGGGCGCCATCTGGTGGCAAAGGCCTCTGCGCCCTCGGCCGCCTGACCTGAGCGCCCTACCTCCCCCCCATTTTTCGTGCCACACCTGCTGCAGGATAAGAGGGTGGACAGGGACCCCCATAGCCCCGCCTAATTGCAGTCACGCGGGTGTGTAAATGAGCCTCGACGAGGCTCCCAAGTGCACCCAAAAATCTTACCCGGCTACCTTCCCCAGAGCGGGCTGGAGGAGCTGCGGCTGGGCCCACCTGGGTGCTGAGCTCGGAGGACAGTCACGGCTACCGCCTGGGTGCCGAGCGCCAGGCACGGTCCGGGCGCCTGTACACACACTAACTCATTAAAACGCCTCTGAACCAGCCCATCCCATGGGGACTCCCGCCACCCCACTTCCGGAATGGAACAGTGAGCCAGCATCTGGCCTCGCGTGCTCGTCAGCCTGTAAGTGGCAGGAACAGAGTTTGAAGGCCAGGGTCGGGCTCCCGAGCCCCTGCTGCGCCGTACAGCCTGCGGCCTGTATCCTGGCCCTAGAGCCACCTGGCAGGGAGCAAGGAGCCACCTCTGCAGCCATGTGATCCTGAGCAAGTGACCCACCTCTGTGAGACTCAGTGTGCTGCTTGCAAAATGGGGGCATGAGCGGGACCCTCGGCCTCCTGCGACGCTGTCAGTTGCCATCAGGGTAGCATCTGTGAAAGGGCTTTGTGAGCCTGGGGTGTCCTGGGAGATGGAGGCTGCTGTTGTTCGCATTCGAGGCCATTAATTCTACACCCGGCTTCCCTCTCATGAGCTCTGCTCTGCAGCCCTCGGCGCTCGATGACCCGGAACCGACAGCTGGTCTGTTCCTGGCCGAGAGTCCAGGGCGGGTAGGAAGGCACCATAGGGATCAGCTGTCCCCGGTGCCAGCTGACCCGAGCCACTTCGCGGGCACAAAGATAAGACATGCTTCGATTACATGTGACATGGCGGTCCCTGAAGGAACCTGCCCTCTCCTGTCCCTTCTGCCGGTTAGAAGTAAAAAGCTCGGTTTCCCCAGCAGCCCACCAAAGATCCATCCAAAGCTGCTGTGCAACCGCGGAGGGGTACCCGCGGATCCTGCGCACCCGGGCAAGCGCCCTCTGACTGCGTGTCGCCTCCTCCCACAGATCAGTGCCCTACAGCAAGGCTACAGCCAGGTGCTGTGCCAGACCCTGTCTGAGAGGAACTCGGAAATCACATCCCTGAAGAACGAGGGTGAGAACCTGAGGAGGGACCATGCCGTCAGCTCAGGTGAGCTCTCTCTGATGGGGGGCCTGAGAGCTGCCCCCTTCCCCCTCCTCCCCTGGCCGCAGCAGACATCACCAGTCCACCGCTGCCCGGCTGCACGCTGATCCGGGGTGCGGCCTCGGCGATCTTCTCAGCGGCCTGTGTCCCCGAGTTCAAGTACAACCAGCTCCTCGGGCAGGGCCTGATACCCGTGTGCGTGAAGGTTATCACTCAGCTATGTCTGGCGAGCACCCCAGGGAGGACACGGGACGCCGTGGGGCTTGGGCGCTTCCACGGGCCAGCTTGCCTTCAAGCTAGAATGTGGGCAGAGTGGGGTCACCGCGTTAGGGGCCTGGTACACTCGGGCCCAAGTGAAAACATTTCCTAAGTGGCCAGCAGAGGCTGCACCCTACAGACCTCAGGGTGGGGGCCCACACGCCCTCTGGAGACCAGCTGTTTCTCACCCTGGATCCTTTCATTCATCCTACGTGTTTATTGAGCGCCCACTGGGTATCAGGCCCTGTTCCGGGGCTGGGGACAGAGAGCCCTGAGCACAGCGCTCCTGTACTCCCAGGGTTCGCGTCTCTGAGCGGGTGACAGGCACTAAAAGTAAACCCACAGTGAATAAGCAAGCCCGTTTCGGAGAAAACTGGCCCAGTGTGGGAGCGAGGTGCTTGAGGGGCAGAAATGAAGGGAGCATATAGCTTGGTGGGCGGGCGAGGACAGGCCTTTGAAGAGGTGGAAAGGGGAGAGCAGTCAGGACACCAGAGGGAACAGTGTTCCCAGCAGAGGGATCACAAGTGCAAAGGGCCTGAGGCTGGGGCCAGGTGGCCATGCAGGAGGAGCTGGAGGCGAGTGGGGCTGGAGTGGGGTGCGCATGGTGGGGAGGCCGGCAGGGTCAGAGAGGGAGGCAGGGGGTAGATCACTGGGAGGGAGGTCTGGGTTTGATTCTAAGGGTAATGGGAAGCCGCTGGGGTTTTTAAGCAGGAATGCCTCGAGACTGGAGGAGGGTGGGGCCGTTAACGGAGGGAGTGAAGCGGGCGCCGGGGCGCGGGCAGCGAGCCTGGACTGGGCCTGTTGCTCTGAGTGCCCGGGACGCAGCAGGAAAGCCGAGCAGAGCGCTGAGCCACGGGGGAGTCACCGTGGGTCTCTGTGCATCGGGCAGCCTGACCCCCGGCTTCTCCTCTGCCTGGCTCCACACCCGCCACCCCTACCCCAGCACCCGCCAGGCCTGTCTATGCTCTGTCCTCAGACGCCACCCTCTCCACTCGGGGAGTGGACGACCCTGGGCTGGGGGAACACGGGGTGGGCTGGACCCGCTCAAGGTGTGGTCCCCAGACCGGTGGCACCAGCAAGCCCCGGGCCCTCGTGAGAACCGCAGAGTCCCGGGCCCCAGCCCAGAATGTCCTGCACCGCAGCCGCACTTCGGTGGGATCCGGGGGCTCGTATACACACAGTCGAGCTTGAGAAGCTCAGGGCCGGGTTGCGCTGCGGGAGCGGCCCTGGGTCTCCGTGGCTTCCGACACGCGGGCTGGTGTCTTGCCTCCACCTGGTGTCCGTCGGGCGTCAGCAGGGGATTTGCTCAGTGTAGCCACTCAGAGACCAGGCTGACAGGCCATCGTGACGCCCACTGACCTCCACACCACAGGTCGGTCCGGTCCCGCCCCACAAAGCTTGAAGGCAAGTCCCCGAGGGATCCACCCGTTGCAAAGAGTCCTGTGACAGAGCTCTGGATCCCATTCATTTCACATCCTTTTTTGACTGGCAGCTACCAATCAGATGGGGCATAATGTTCTTCCAAGAAAAGAACCACCTGAGACAACCGAATCGCACAGCCTTTCCGCACCCTTCTTCCCGCTTGTCCTCAATACGAGAATCCAATAATGTGTTAGTGACCTACTGCTACGTAACCGGTTATCCCAAAATCTAATGGGTAAAACAACAACCACTGTTTATTTATCTCATCCAGCTTCTGGAGCTCAGGAATGTGGGGGTGACTTGGTTCTCAGGGTCTCCCGTGAGGCGCAGTCAGCACATTGGCTGGGCCGTGAGCTGGCCCTCTCTGCTCCCCACGGTGTGGGCCTCTCCCTCGGCCGCTTGAGTGTCCTCACAGCGTGGCGGTCGGCCTCGCCCAGCGTGTGAGCCGACGGAGACCGAAGGGAAAGCCGCGATGTCTCCTACGACCCCCCTAGGAAGTCGCAGTCCGTCTTTCCCACAATATCATCCTGGCTACCCACGTCAGCCCTGCTCCTGGCGGGAGGGGCTGCGCCAGGGCGTGACCGCTGGGGCCATTTTAGAAGCTGGCTACCACAAAATAAAATAATAGGTGCCCTGTAACGAACGCTGTGGGTCAGCCACTCTCCTGTGTTCTTTATATGTCTTTTTTTTTTTTAATTTTTTATTTATGAGATAGAGAGAGGCAGAGACACAGGCAGAGGGAGAAGCAGGCTCCATGCACCGGGAGCCCGATGTGGGACTCGATCCCGGGTCTCCAGGATCAGGCCCTGGGCCAAAGGCAGGCGCCAAACCGCTGCGCCACCCAGGGATCCCCTCTTTATATGTCTTTAACCCTTATCATAACTTCTCGGGGAGACACAGTAAGATACTGATAAGGAAAATAACGTGTCCAGGAACACCAGGCTACTAAGTGGTGGTGAGCGTGAATCCGACCGCCCCGCTGACAGCCTCCTTCTGCCACAAGCCTTTTTATGGCCTCTGGAGAAAACTCCTGGGCCTTCCCCACACTGGGCCTCGGTTTCCCAGCCCCATGGCGTGGCCTCTCCTGCCAAGCCTGAGCCCACAGGGGCCCCCCAAAGGCTCTTCTTCTCCCGGCAACACTCGCTGACTTCTTGTTCTCGCCGCCGTCTTAAGCAAATGCTGTTCAGTGCATTTCAGCATCACCCCTGTCCCGGCTCTGGGAGCCTAGACACAAGCTCCTCCGGTGCAGGTGAGCACCAGGGGCGGCCCGGGCTTGGAAGGGGCTCGGCCACAAGTTGGCTGACAGCTGTGGTGGCGGTCATCCTTCCTGCCCCTTTGACCTCTGTGAGTCTTTATATATATATAAAGATTATTAAATATCTATGTAAAATTTATGTGTTTGTTTGCTTGTTTGTTTGTTTATTCATTCATTCATTCATTCATTCCCCAGGGATGGTGTCATCTCTGCAAAAAGAAGTGTTCACAAGGGATGAGGAAATTCAACAGCTCAAACAGGAGGTGAACCAACTAAAAAGTGAGAACAAAGAAAAGGATCACCAGCTTGAAGCCCTCAGTTCCAGAGTGAGTGTTGGGTCACCGTCATCATACTGTAGCTGTCCCCAAAAAGCAAGGAGAGCAGAGTCCCATGACTCATCTCTCATACCCTGGGCCCCGGCTTTAAATGTCACTCCCATCTCTCCCACCACTGTGAGATGAGGCCGGTGCCCCAGGGCATAAGGAGGGCACAGGAGGACAGCCGCTGGGTGGCCCAGAACACGAAAGGCCCAGCGGGAGAGACCAGCGGCAGGGGCCAGGTTCTTTGCAAGTTAAAGAGCTTTTTATTTTATTTTTTTAAGATTTATTTATTTATTTATGATAGAGAGAGAGTGAGAGAGAGAGAGAGGCAGAGACACAGGAGGAGGGAGCAGCAGGCTCCATGCCGGAGCCTGACATGGGACTCAATCCCGGGACTTCAGGATTACGCCCTGGGCCAAAGGCAGGCGCTAAACCACTGAGCCACCCAGGGATCCCCTTAAAGAGCTTTTTAAATGTAACTTTGAGGGGCGCCTGGTGGCTCAGTCGGTTAAGTGTCTGCCTTCGGCCCAGGTCATGATCCCTGGAGTCCTGGGATCGAGTCCCACATCGGTCTCCCCCTGCTCAGCGGGGAGCCTGCTTCCTCCTCTGCCCCTCTCCCTGTGCGTGCTCGCTCTCTCGCGCGTGCTCTCTCTCAAATAAATAAATAAAACCTTGAAAATATAACCATATATGACTTCGACTCTGCGAATGGTGCCTTCCATCCTGACTTTAGAATCCCGATGCCGCAGAGTAAGGTTTCTCAGCATGAGTGTGCTCTCTTGCAATGAATCCAGCTGAAACCGAAGAGCCGTCACCCCAGGCGGCAGCTCGGGGACACACGGTGCCTGACTGACCCAGTGCTCCGTCTGCGGGGATGTCAGGGGGTGAGAGCCCCAAGTCCTAAAGAAAAGGCCTGAGAAGTACCAGTCCGGTGCTTACACGGTACTCAGTTTGGAACTCAGAAAACGCAGAGCGTGACCTTCGGGGTCAGACAGGCCAGGATCCAAGCCCAGGCTTTGTCTCATGACTTACTTGCCTCCGTGTCGCATCGGCCAGGCACGGACAGGAAAGTGATGTTCTGAGAAGTGGGAGGCTGATTTCAGTGGCCCTCTCCCGCCCCTGCCCCCGCCAGCCGCCGGGCGACGGGTCCCTACCCTCACTTCTCCCCGCAGACTGACTTCCTACACGCGCAGGGCACCTGCTTTGTGTGGGGGGCGTGAGTGTGCCTGTGAGTGTGTGTGTGCGTGCCGGCGAGGGGGGCAGCTTGCAGGGCCGGTGCCGAGTGGGAGAAATATGGAAAAACAACCCCGACTTGACCGTTCTGCTCACTGAAGTACATGTGGATTCTTTCTCCCCCCACTTCCCCTTCCTCGTTGACCTTGGAGTGAGGCGTTTCTCCTCCCTAACCGGTGCAGCTCTTGTGAGCATTTGGATGCCTGGCTTTCCTTTTTTTCTAATCCCCTTTGTCATGTGTGATAACTTTAGGAAAATAAAAGATGATATTGAGAAGCAAAATTGAAGAGATAAGGAAGAAAACGCTACCCCTAGAAACCCACATTCATATTTTAATGTGTATTTTTCCAGTCTTGGAAAAAAATAAATAAATATAAATTTTAACGTTTATACTATACTCTTTTTTAATTTTAAATATGTACTATTTTCCCACGTTAATGAATAAAAGCTCTTATCATCGGTCCTAAAAGCTACAGAATATTTGTCTGGAAGTACACAATGTAATTAAGTGATCTGTTGTTGGACACGGCTGTTTCTTTTTCTTTCTTTCTTTTCCTCTGTTGCTAATACTGCCAAGAACATCCCTGACCCTACAGTTCTGCTGATTTCTCTAGTCAGCGTCCTTAAGAGACAATACTAAAGTGGGGATTTCTGGGTCAAAAGAAGGCCCATCTTTATGTTCTCAATGTGTGTTGCCAAACTGCCCTCCTGAAAGGCTGTTCCATTTACCTTCCCTCCGCCAAGCAGCTGTGTTGGGAGATGCACCTTGCAGAAAGCACGAGAGCGCCTCCCTGTATTCCTGGCAGCTCTCTTGGCTGGTCCCAGGGGCAAACACACCCATCCCGCCACCCTAAGGATCCGGACTGCAAAGCTGGGTCTGTCCTGTGGTGTGGACTGCTGGCTCCTGAAGAAGCATTTACACAGATTATCCCCGGAACTCAAGAGAGGGGTGACTGACTACCACCTGCTGCAGGGCCCTGGGCGTCCCTCAGACGCAAATGGCCTCGCCTCTGGAAATTTGGGGAAGTGATTGGATTAAGCAATAGGAAATGCTCTTAGGAGCAAATGCGGGGACTTGGGGACCCACAGACAGCCCCACGTGGCCTTCTTGTGTTGTCTCTCCATAGTGCTCCGCGCTGAAAGAGTTAAGAAAGGAAGATGCTCAGAAGGAACACCAGGAAGCCCAAGGGAAAGAGTTAAAACTCTGCAAAATTGTGAGTTGAGCCTCTTCACTGCTCCGTGTCCCCAGAAAAGCTAGACTTTGACCTTCAGGGAGCTTTGGGGGGTTGGAGAGGGGTTCCATGGCCCATTAGATGGCACAAGCTGTAGGGCTTTAATGATTGTTTATTAACCTAGTCTCCTAATTCTTTGAAATGCTGCTTATAGCCTCAAAGAAGAAATGGCTGAAAGTACCGTAGAAAACACCCTCCCAGGATTCTCTGGGAAGTGCACACCGTCCCCGTGGGGCTGGACAGGAGACATGGGGTCCCTGCCCCCCAGACCTGTGGTGTCCAAACTTTCATGTTCCATCGTCAGAGTTTATCTTACACGTGGGCACTGTTATTAACACAGAATTCTTCCTGAAGCATTTTTGTTGAAATACATCCATTTTACACCAACTCATAAAAACAAAGAAAAAAAATCATTTGCCTTATATAGGCGATCACTTTGGAAATAATGAAACAACGGTGAAAATACTTGCACTAGAATGAAAACATTCAGGGACGCCTGGGTTGAGCATCTGCCTTCAGCTCAAGGCATGATCCCAGGGTCCAAGGATAGAGTCCCACATCGGGCTCCTCACAGGGAGCCTCCTTCTCCCTCCACCAATGTCTCTGCCTCTCTCTGTGTCTCTCATAAATAAATAAATAAAATATTTTTAAAAAAATAAAATGAAATGAAAACGTTCATTCCCTGTGCCAGTCGAGTCCTCTTACACGGCACCAGGCACATGTTCCCATTCATTAGGAAGTACAGCGCCTTAGACACGAGGAAGAGACGTCCTGTTCTCTGTGCCAGGAACATTGCTATTCTCTGCCTCAAAATGGGGAAAAAGAAAAATTTCATTATTCTGTCCTTCCAGACTATGTCCATTGTGGCATCCAAGCAGCCCTGATTCAGACTGATCTCAAAAATACACCCTAGGAGAAGAGCTTCTAATGAGTTGATGGATATCTTGTACTGTTTAATCCAGGGTCCATGCTGATTTTCAAAAGAAACTAATCATTTCCCTTTACCCAATTTCCCAACCATCCATTGAAAAAACATCTACTTTGCCCCACAGATGTAGAATTTTCCCCCAAGGGAAGCAATTAAGCTAATACCAGACTAGGTTTCTGCCTTAATGAACCCAATGAAATGAACTACAGAGGCTCAGGATTTTTCAGCCCAGAAGGCAACTCCCGCTTCCCATCAGGGAAGTTGACTTCCTGTTCTTGAAACTCTTTCAGCAAATCCAAGACATGGAGAAAGAAATGAAGAAGCTCAGGGAGGAGCTGAAAAAGAATTGTACTGAACAGAACATGATCTCTAAGACACTGCGAGAAAAAAGCAAGGTAAGACAAGGACAGTGTGGCCCAGTGACCCCTCTGGGCCAGGCCTTCTGCACGTATCATCTCAATCTCCCAATGACTCCGCGTGGTCAATACCGGTATTAACCCCACTTTATGGTTGAGAAACTGAGGCTCACAGAGGTAAACGATGTTAGCCAAGTTCACTCAGATAAAGTAGCTGTACTTCTCAGAACTTGGACCCGCGTCTATCTGACTCCATGCTCCTGTGTGTAACCACAAGTCTAGACTGACTTCAACTCTTATTTGTAAAATTTATCCAGAAGAGAACTGATCCATTAAATCAAGTTTGCTAATGGTGTTGCTCAAACTTAAATGCTCTTATGGATATTTTTGGCCATGTGGCCTAGCAGTCATTGAAGAGGCATATTTTTTAAAATCTCATGATTGTGGATTTGTGTATTGCTACTTTTAGTATTGACAACTTTTGCTTTGTATATTTTGAGGCCGTGTTACTAAGCGCCTATAAATTTAGAATTTTAATACTTCTCATTGGAGAAAAAAAAAAAAACCTTTGATCATCATAAAATGTCCCTCTTCATCTCTAATAGATTTTTCCCCTTAACGTCTACTTTGTCATTAATGCAACTTTGGCAGTGGGATGCCTGGGTGACTCAGCTGGCGTCTAACTCTTGATTTTGGCTCAGGTCATGATCTCAGGGTCCTGGGATCAAGCCCCACATCAGGCTCTGTGCTCAGTGCAGAATCTACTTGACCTTCTCCCTCTCTCTCTGCTTCTCTCTCTCCCTCAAATAAATAAAATGTCATAATATATGTGTGTGTGTGTGTATATATATATATATATATATATATATATATATATATATATACTCTAGAAGCCCTACTGCTTTTCTTTTGAAAAGAAAAAAATACTGCTATTTTCATAGCATATCTTGTTCCTACTCTTTCTGTCAGTCTTTGTTTTAAGTTTTAGGCAATCTCTCTTCTAACTAGCATATCATCTTTATAAAATCTGCTTTAACAGTCTTTGTCTCTTGGTCCATTTACATATAATGTGGTTGCTGGTTTGTCGGGATTTAAATCTACCTTCCTGCTTGGTGTACAAACTGTGTGATGCTCCCTTTTCTTCCTTTCATGCCCTCTTTTGAGTTAGTGGTTTTTGTTTCCATCTTCTCTATTAGCTTGGAAATGCCTTCCTCTTTTACTACTCTCTTCGTAATAGCAAGACAACAGCATTCAGCCTTGACTTACCAAATCCAATAGTAATTGAGTTTCTCATTCTTTAACTCTTCTTCTCATGGTCAACCTAATGGCTATAATCTGCATTCTTGACTTACCAAGATCCAACATTAGTTGATAATTATGCCCTTCTCCTTGGTAAGGAAATGACTGTGGAACACTAACTTCACTCACCCCCTCCAGATTTGTGTGCCACTGTTGTCATTTTCTAAATGATATTTTATTTTATTTATTTTATTTTTAAGTAGGCTTCATGCCCAGCGTGGAGCCCAATACAGGACCCGAACTCATGACCCTCCAGTCGGGGCCAGAACCAAGATCAAGAGTCAGACACTTAGCCAGCTGAACCACCCATGTGCCTCATCAACTATTCCCTATTTGTAAACCCCAGAAGATCTAGTCACTATTTCTCTATAGTCAATATTCATGTCCATATGTTACCTTTCTTGCTTTCTTTTCTGCATCTCTGATCATCCATTTGGGATCATTGTTCTTCCATCCAAAGAACACCTTTTAGTGTTTTCCTTCAGCATGGCTATGCTGATGACAAATTCTCTCAGATTTGGGCACACGCATCTCTGGAAATGAATATTTAACCTTCATTCTTAAAACACATTTCGACTGAGTGTTGAATTCTGCGTTGACGTTGACATTCTTCTAGCGCATTACAGGTAACATCAGGTCCATCATTCCATTGACTCTCGGACGCTGTTGTTTCTGCTTAGACGTCATTTACAAGCCTAACTGTTTGCCTTTGGGTAATCTATTTTCCCTGGCCACTCTGAAGATTTTGTTTGCTCTTGATTTTTAGCAGATTTATTATGATTTATTTCAGTGTGGACTCATTTTTATTTACCTGTTTGGCGTTCGTATGGGCTTCTTGCATCCTTGGCTGGGTGTTCGGCATTAGTGTGGCACTCGGGTGACCTACCACACAGGCAGCAGGTTGCTGCTGAAGGCTTTTGAACAGAGAACTGGTATGATGACTTGTGATCAATGGTTACGGTGAAGATAATAGCTAAAATTTCCCATGTACTGGGCACTATGCCAAGCATTTCATCTCTTTCACCGATCTATGCTCTCCGTTTTACAGATGAGGGAATCAAGGCTCTTAGTCACTAGTAAGGTAACCAGCCCACAGCCACACTGTCAGTAGGTAACGAAGCAAAGACTGGAAGCCAGGTTTGTGTGGCTCCCGTCACTGTGGCGCAGCCACGAGCCACATGCAACTCTTCACACTGAAGTTAACCAAGATTGGGTAAAACTCCAAACTGAGTTCCCCAGTCACACCAGCCACATTGCCAGGGCTTGACAGCCCGAGGTGGCTGGTGGCTACTAGTCAGCACAGACAGGGAGCATTTCTGTCAATGCGGAAAGTTGTGTCGGACCCAGCTGCTCCACAGCCTGGCAACTCTCACAGCATAAAGAATGTGTTGGGAGGAAGTAAACCAGAGGGAGGAGCCACTTACATAGGCCAGAGGCCCTCGGTGCCTGGCAGGGGTGCTCACCAGGGTAGGGATGGAGACGTGGACTGGATGTGACAGGGGCCCGAGCCACAGGCTTGGAGATGGCTTGGCGTGAGAGATGGAGCAGGGCAGCAGCGAAGGATGACCCCAAGGGCTGGGGCAGGGAAGGTGGGGCAGATCCTTAGGTGGGGAGCCCCGCTAAAGGCAGAGTCCAGGCTGGACTTGGCCTTCCCGGCGTATGAGGGAGTCTGCTGAAATAGAAGTCAGAGCGTGTTTAGACGTGAGGGGATGTTTGCGGAGGAGGCTGAGGCCCAGGGAGCGTAGATGGCTTTGCCAACGGCCCGGCGACCCAGAGGCTCCGGGGCTGCCCCACGCTGCTCAGAAGAAAGCTCCGGGGCTCTTCTGGGTCTTTTATTACTTCTGTGACCCCCCCCTTCAGCCCCCTAAGAAACAGCTCGCAAAGTCTTTGCAGCACAAAGTCCTCAGGCTTATCTAGGGGAGTTTGCTTCCTCTCCGGAGAACCCCAGAGCCCTGGGCTCCGCAGGTGCTTCCAAAACGGCAGGGTCCCCAAGGGAGCAGCCGGGCTGCGGGGCCCGTGGCGGCCGGCAGAGGGCGGCGTCCAGCCCGGCAAGCTCGCCCGCCTCGCCCTCTCCCGTCGGGGGACAATGACCCGGCCAGTCGCCCCGCTTCCCACGGGCTGCGATTCCTAAAAGACTTTGCTTGGCAAGCCCCTGGCGCGGCTTCCGCTGGCGAGCGGCCTGGAAGCAGTGATGCCAAACGGGCACGATGATAAGGCCAAGTAATAGCATCTACCAGGTACCCGGCGTGGGCCAGTTCCCCGCGGCGCTAGAGCACGGCGCCCGGTGCACATTCCCGGCCCCCTTTGCAGAGCGCAGCGCCCGATGTGTGCACAGAGCTTTCCAGAAGTGCCGGCCCCGCTCAAAACACTGAATCCCCGCACTCACCCTGGGAGGCGCACTAGGATCACCATCCCCGCTTGGCAGAGGAGGACCCGTCCCCAGTCCTGTGGCTTGCTGGGGACCCGCAGGGGTCCTTTCCATCCCACCCCGGGGCGACTCCTGCGAGCCCGCCTCCACCCTGCACTCGCTCACCCATGACCCCTGCCCCCGCCCCGGGACCCCCGTGGCCATCAGACCTCCTCCAGGAAGCTCCCCAGAGGGCATTATGATCACATTAGCAGCGAGCACATGCTTTCATCGTCCTTTCAGGTTGAAGAGAAGCTTCAGGAGGATTCCAGAAAGAAATTGCTCCAGCTACAAGAAATGGGAAACAGAGAGACCCTCATTAAAGTCAATTTGGAAAGGGCAGTAGGTCAGGTAGGCGAGCTCCAGAGCCCCCCTCAGTGGCCCATGCTCCCCTAGGTTTTCTGCTCCCCAGCTGGTGGGGATGAGTCAGGAGGATGGTGGCCGTGGTTGGATTCCCCCTGGGACCCCAGCCGAGAAGCCGCATGTGGCTCCTGCACCCCAGGAAGCTGCCCGCACCAACAGCCCAACCCCGCTCCCCGCGGTGAACCTGCCGCGGTGCAATTCCCTTCTGGGAAGAGTCTGAACCTCTTGACCCCATGGTGTTTCTGGGATTTTCTCCCTCACACTTTTTTGTCCTGACATTTACCGTGATCTTGTATCCCCTGTCTGCCAGCAGATGTCACAGTCAGTGTCCTTAAGGAAAGAAAGTAAGGGGAAGCCAGATGTCAAAGTGCTTGCTAGATGGGGAAGAGTCTGGGCAGGCTGGTGGGCAGGCTCCGACAGGCTGGCCTGGGCACGCCACTGCCCTAACACTCTGGCCCCAGATGGCCCAGTGGCCCTTCCTCTGGTGTGCGGCACGGATGTGAGGGCCAGGACGTGCCAACAAGACTTCGCCAAAGGCCGAGGGAAAGCCAACTGGAAGCCGGGTGGAGGCCCCGACCCTCCAGGATATGGCTCCAGGGCAGCCTGTCTTGGACTTCTCCTGGGGGGCCCCCTCCTGGCAGCCACGGCTCCAGGGGGGCCCAAGAACATTCTCTGTGTATATATATGTCTGTGCTTCTGCTCTCCTGGGAAGGGGGGCCCACCAGGTTACTCACTGGATTCTCAGAAAGGTCTGTGCACCCGGACCAGCCCGTCCCCTTTCTGTGCCCTGCAGCCCCCAACACACCCTTGATTGAAGGCATGATCTGTGTCACTTGCCCAAGTCCCAACATCCAGGTTACAGTGGAGTTTAGGAGAGAAGTCTCCCGGGAGGACCCCCCCGCAAGACACTGAGATTTCTCCGGGTGTGGACCCAAGAGACAGAGGATGGGCCCCATCTCTGCTACTTCCCCATCCCACCCCCTTATTGCCAGGGTCCTGCTCCCTGCCTGAGACTCCGCCCCTTGCCAGGCAAGTGGCTCCAGGACTGAGCCAGGAGCCAGGAGGACCTGTCCCCTCCCCCCTGAGCAGTGCTGTGGGAGGCCTCCGGGGGGATGTGGGGCCGTCATTCACAGGGCACTCTCTGCGTGACCTCTTCCTGGGCTCGTTGGGACCCCTCCCCTTGGCCATGGATCCAGAGGATGGCCTGGAGTGCCTTGGCCCCCCCACCCCTGCCCCTGTCTGCTTTGAGCAGGCTGACTGCAGGGGTGTCCTTAGGAGCTCACCATTCCACTCTTGGGTTCCCAGAACTCCACGGTAGCAAGTAAACCCTGCATGTTAGGACCCTTTGACTTTTTATTTTATTTTATTTATTCATAAGAGACAGAGAGAGAGAGAGAGCAAGAGAGGCAGAGACACAGGCAGAGGGAGAAGCAGGCTCCATGCAGGGAGCCTGACGTGGGACTTGATCCCGGGTCTCCAGGATCACACCCTGGGCTGAAGGTGGCGCTAAACTGCTGAGCCACCGGGGCTGCCCGGACCCTTTGACTTTTGAGTTGATTTGGTGGCACCTATGATCCCTTCAGGGCTCTGTTTTATTTTATTTTATTTTATTTTTATTTTATTTTATTTTATTTTATTTTATTTTATTTTATTTATTTTTGGGTTTTTTTTTGTTGTTTGTTTGTTTGTTTTTGTATGTTCGGGGCTCTGTTTCAGAGTCCATGACCGTGTTTTGTCAGTAAACCAAAAACCCAGGCCACGTTGGTAAATTCTCAGAGCAAGCTGGGCTTCCCGGCCCGTCCCTGCTGCGGGCACTGGGCACCTTAGAGCTGTGCCTCCGTGTGCCCTGGCCTAATCCAACCGCGCCATCTCGTCGGCTGTAATCTGAAAACACTGGCACCAAGCAGGCACCCAGGAAAAGCTGGCTGAACCAAAGTGGGGCGCCCAGGGCTGGCAGATGCCCGCATACGAGCATCGATGAATACGTACCGAGCGCCTCCTCTGCCCGGCTCTGAACCAGGCTCTGGGGACCCAAAGGCCACCGACACAGCGTGCAGGACACGTATGGTCGGAGGCCCAGGCTGCAGACGGGAGCACGCTGTCCTCTCGCCAGACACCCGAGCTGATGACACCATTTACTTGGGCTGACAGCCTCAATATTTATCTCACAGTCTGGGGCCGACTTCCCAATTATGGAAGAGCGCTCCCGGCCCCAGACTTCCCACTGGATAATTGGCAGCAAGTGGCTCGTCTGAGGGCGCGAGCGGCGTGCGCGCCGACCACGGGTGCCCGTCGGGTTCGGCGGGCAGACCTGGAAGGTAATTAGAACCTGCTGTTGTGGGATCCCTGGGTGGCGCAGCGGTTTGGTGCCTGCCTTTGGCCCAGGGCGTGATCCTGGAGACCCGGGATCGAATCCCACGTCGGGCTCCCGGTACATGGAGCCTGCTTCTCCCTCTGCCTGTGTCTCTGCACCTCTCTCTCTCTCTGTGTGTGACTATCATAAATAAATTAAAAAAAAAAAAAAAAAAGAACCTGCTGTTGTGTTCTCGGCTGCCGGGCCCTTCCAGGAAGAGCTCAAGACGCCGGCGAGCCGTAGTGACCAGTGGAGGCCGCGGCCCCCTACCTCCTGGCCCCTGGCGCTGCCGGCCACCCCAGCCCCGGCTGCCCCCACTGACTGTCGCCTTCCTTTTTTTTTTTTTTTTTTGGTCGCCTTCCCTTTGTGTGTAGCTGGAGCATTTCAGAAGTCAAGTCATCAAGGCCACCTACGGACGAGTGAAGCCGTTCCTGGACAAGCCCGTCACCGATCAACAGGTTTTTCTTGCTTCCTCCCTTCCTCCCTCGGGGACCTGGGCCTCCAGACACTGGGAGCATATGCGCCTGTGTTTTGTTGGTGGTACATATTTTTCACACTGTTGCTACACCATAAAGATTTGTTTTGATTTTATGGGATTTCCTGGCTTTTAAAGTAAAAGCCAGTTAAATTCCCTTGAAATGTTTCTGTGAAAATCAAATTAAACCACTCAGGCCTATTTCTGGTCGCCAGACACACACATTTACCCCCTCGCTGGCACCTTAGAAGTAGGGGGGAGTGGGGCCGCCTGTCCCCAGACGCTGCATTCTCACTTCTTCCTTCTGAAGAGAAGAGATGGTGATGGGGGTGGACTCCCGGCCATAACGATCGCCTTGTCATTCTTCTGATTTTCTTTCTAACCCTCTGTTCCACGCATGTGTAAGAAAACACACCATGGGCTGCTCTTGTCAGCTGTGGACACTGACCTTCTTTCTACCTGTGAGTCCACAGCATCAGGCTCCGCGTGACAAATCACAGTGCAGGAGAATCCAGAGCAAACTCATGACATTACAGACCTTTGGCTCTGAAAAGCCATCTCAGACCCTGGGAGATATGTCCCGGGGACAGGACCGATGTCCTCCTCCAGAGCCGTCACCAAGACACGTCAGGGCCTCCCCGTTCACCTGCAGAACCCGGGAGCTTGAACTCACGCTCCTGGTCCCTTCCCAGGGCCACCCTGGTGTGCAAATCTCTCTTTCCTTTTTCTCACCAGCTAATAGAGAAGATCACCCAGGTCACTGAGGACAACATCAACTTTCAGCAGAAAAGATGGACCCTGCAGAAGGAGACTCAGCTCAGCAATTCTAAACAGGAGGAAATCACAGAGAACATCGAGAAGCTGAAGACATCTCTAGACAACTGCCAGGTGCCCTCTTCTTCGGCTTTTTACAAATCTCATTCTTGTGCTGCTTGTTTGGGAAGTTTCCCCAGCGTTTGTGGAGCAGGTTGGGCAGAAATGCTCTGCTCCTTTTTCATCCTTTTCTCCTGGAGAAATCTGTTTGGGAGCAGAAAACAAAGAGCCTCAAAAACTGCCTCCCAGGTGAACTTGGTGCGGCCACGGAAAAGATGCATGATGCACCCCTGCTACTGACCTGGGGAGGCCCCGGGCCCCAGCAAAAAACAAATCAATAATAAATAAGTCCCCCGTTATTTTCAGAGGAACATCCCTGCTCTTTATTTGCATTATTTTCTGGCCCAGCAGTGGAAAGGCTGTTGTTTTGGGCTCTTTGGGGTTTTTGTTCTTTTGGGTGGTTTTTTTGTTTTTGTTTTTTTGTTGTTGTTGGGGTTTTTTGCCTCTTTTGCTTCTGACTCCGGAGGAGACGGGCCCAGAAGTCTGCCTGAACCCCACGGCTCCCACACCAGAATGGAGCCTCCCCAAGCAGGCAGCTGCTTCTGCTTTCTCTAGAAATAAGCAGCTACTATTTGGGGAGCTTGTGCAAACGCTGGCTTGTCAGCACTCTTTCAAATCAGGAAACCCCGCTTTCTGACCAGCTGATGTGTTGATCTCAACGGGAATTTTGATGAACAGAAGTAGCCAGATTTGGTTCTCCTTTCAGCCAATTGTCCTTGGCAGTTTGGCTTTGGAATTGCAGATACCTAAAAATGGGGTCTCTTCGACCACCAAAGGCTGCATTAGAGTGCCAAAAAAGCAAAAGCTGCCAAAACGGGGAGCAGGCGGGGTGGGGGTGGGGGGTAAATGAAACTGAGCCGTCCGAGTGCGGCCAACATGCGGCGCTGCCCGTCTCATGGCCAAGTCAAGAGCGCTGCTGCTTCTGGGCCCAGCGTCGGGGCTCCTCATGATCTCGTGTCTTTCCAGGCCTGCATGAAAAAGTCTTGCGGTAGCAAGGACCTGAAGAAGGAGGTGGACCTGCTTCAGAACCTTCAGGTGAGCCCACCTGTTTCAGGGCTCCAGAAGGTGGCGCTGGACATCCTGCGCCTGTCGCTGTCCTGGCTGGAGGAAACGGAGCGTCTCCTCCGGGACGTGGGCATCCAGCTCTCCAGCTCTGAGACAGGTTAATGGCACTTTTTTCTCACGTAGTTGCATGACTCTGAAATGTCGCGTTGAATCTTACCATGATGGGACATCTGTTGAGGAAGGCTTCTTAGCTATGTGGCCAAGTGGCCCTTCTCCAGACTTTGAGAAGTGATTTTTTTCCTTGGGGGAGGGAAAAAAAAAAGTGAGACATGATTACTGAAGGAAAATGAGACGTGACACAAGCAAAAGGAAAATTAAGTCGAGATTATGCTAAATCCTATCTCTCAGAAGCGACTACCATTATGTATCTATTAGACTGTTTTTAGAGCAGTTTTAGGTTCACAGAAAAACTGAGAGGAAAGTACTGTACAGAGACTTCCCGTGTGCCCCCTGCACCCCATATGCCCAATCCCCCCCATTATCAGCGCCCCCCACCAGAGTGGTACGTGTGTTACAGTTGGTGAGTCTACAGGGATGCATCATTCCCAGAGACCATGCTTCACATCGGGGCTCACTCTCAGCGTTGCACACTCTGTGGGTTTGGACAAAGGATCCACGACCTGGATCCACCATTATAGTATCACACAGGATAGTTTCAGTTGCCCTAAAAATCCTCCGCTTGCTATCTATTCATCCCTCCCCCAACCTCCAGCTCCCCCAGCCACTGACCTCTCTACTGCCTCTATGGTTTTGCCTCTTCCAGAACGTCATGCAACTGGAATCCTACAACTCTCCAGATTGGCTTCTTTCACTTAGTAATATGCATTTAAGTTCCCTCTCATGTCTTTTCATGACTTGATAACTCACTTCTTTTTAGCACTGACTAGTTGTCTGGACGGACCATAGTTTATCTATCCATCCACCTGGTGAAAGGACATCCTGGTAGCTTCCAAGTTTTGGCAATTATGAATAAAGCCATCATCACCATCTGTGTGCAGATTTTTGTGTGGATATAAGTTTTCAAGTCCTTTGGGTAAATACCAGGGAGTAGGATTGCTAGAGCATGTAGTAAGGGCATGCATGGTTTTAAAAGAAACCACCAAACTGTCCTCCAAAGAGCCTGCACCATTTTGCATTCCCACCAGCAATGCGTGAGAGTTCCTCTTGCTCCACATCCTTTGCCAGCAGGTGATGTTGTCACTACTGTTTATTTCGGGCATAACTTCCACAGCATTTTCCCATGGAAATAGATGTATGATTCTTACTCTCTCTCTGCCTCGGTTTCCTTACCTGTAAAATGAGGATAATAAGGAGTACCTACCCCTTAAGGTTGTCGGGAGGATTAAAATGCATCGGTATATGTGAAGTACTTAGAATAGTATCTGTCACAGAATAGGCACTACTTATACATTTATTTTTTTAGATTTTTTTTTTGTCATGGGCATTTAAGTTGTCTCCAGTTTCCCATACTTACAGATAATGCTGAAATGAATGGTACAGAACATATACCAATTCATCTTATATTTATCACCTTAGAGGTGGAGGGAGTTAAACCACTTTCATTCAACAAATTTATTGCATGCCTACTAGACACCAGCACTGTGCAGGGCAGAGCTGTATCGGGGTCAGAAACAGGTGGAATCCAGGTGGAGGGTGTATGGGTGTCTTGCTTAGCCTCTTGCTTTATCTGTACATTTGAAATTTGTCATGATAAAATATTGAGGGGGAAATAAGCACTATTGCTGCCCTCATAGACCTTGTGGTCTTAGGGAGGGGAGGGTGGGCATTAATTGGAAAATCGCTCACACCTAAAACATTAAAGGAGACAAGTGCTACAAAGGAGAAGTGCAGGACTCTAACCTGGTTAGGGAGGGCAGGGCATCCTCAGGATACACAGGAGTTATTTGTCAGAGGAGAGGGGAGGGGAGAGAATTCTGGGTGAGGAGAGATGTGTATTAGGATGGGAGCATGAAGAACACAAGGCACTGAAAAAAATGGGGGTGGGAGGTGGGACAGGGCTGGCAGGAAAGGTCAGCAGGGGATGTGCCACGTGGGCTTGTAGGGCTCTGATAAGAAGCTCTGCTTTATCCTAAGCGCATTGAGAACCCAATGAAAGATTTTAAGCAGGGAACTGATGGACAGGTTTGCTTTAGGAGATAATCCTCTTGACTGTGAGTAGAAAATGTACTGGAAAATGGCCATCATGGAGCACCAGGGAACCAGCTAGGAGGCTGTCACAAGAGATGATGGTGGCTCCAGGGCAGGGGTAGGATACAGAAGGGGAGAAGTTTCTCAGGCATTTAAGAGGTAAATCAACAGGCCTCAGTGGTGGAATTGGATACAATTGGAAGGGAAGTGACATAGAGAAAGGGTTCTAGAGACCTCCAGGTTTCTGGCTTGTGTAAAAAAACAGACAATTCTTCCTCACTAAAATCCAGAGTAAGGAACGTTGCGTGAAGACCAGGTTTGAAGGAAGTGCTTGTGAGACATTCAAGATGAGGTGCCAAGGATGCAGCCGTCACCTTGTATGTCTAGTCTGGGAAACAGATGTTAATGGTGTATCTCTAGAACCCAGAAAAGCATATGCCACATAGTGGGTGCTTAATAACTGTGGGTGGATGAGTGGATGAATGGATGGATGGACAGATTGATAGGTAGATGGATGAATGGTTGGATGGGAGATAAATGGAGGATGGATGGGTGGATGAGTGGATGGATGGATGGATGGATGGATGGATGGGTGAATGAATGGATGGATTGATAGGTAGATGGATGAATCATTGGATGGGAGATGAGTGGGGGATGAATGGGTGGGTGGATGGATGGATAGATGGTGGGGATGGATGGGTGGATGGATAAAGCCATAGGTGTGAATGGTATCAGTAAGAAAGTATATGAGGAAGAGAGCTGAGGGCCACACCTTCAGGAACTCTGACATTTTGAAGATTATTGCTATGCCTTGCCAAGTCACCCTTCATAGAGGCCGCATGAATTTGACATTCTTAGAGCAATAAATGAGAATAAAGGAGTGATTTTCAACTCTGATGATTCAACATCCCCAGCCATGATGTCTCCAAAGTAGTCCCAAAGGTGGTATAAAGTTCTTTGAAAAGAAGGCAAAAGCAAAAAACATGATTAACTTCTATAACTGCCTGCCCCTCACATATAGCACAGAGAAGAGGATAGTTGGTCTTCTCCTGACCACCCAATGGCTCCTCAGTCCCAGTGGTACTGTTGTAATCTTGGCAGTCCTGAGCAAACATGAAATCAGGTAAAACATGGATCACAGTACTAACTGTTCTTCAAGAAGTAAGGAACTAGCATCTCTATCCTAATAATAGTGGGGCCAAGTTATGTGTGTGCCATCCCCTCCCCATGTCCAAGACCATTTTAGTGCTTGTAGCTTATGTCCATAAATCTAGACATATATTTTATTATAAAACGATGTGGATTAATTATAGAGTTGAGTGTCAGGACAGCAATTCCAGAAAGTCATTTCGGGCAACATTTCTCAAACCTGCCATCTCAAGTGCAGAGCCCCTTCTACACCAACATGTGCTATGGATCTAGAAAAATGGGGTAAAGAATGCAGTGTTCCCAAAACACATTTCTCCTTTTTTGCTGTCCTGGCTCACATCTAACATCTTTTGGAATAATGCTCTACAGAACACCTGTGGGGGAAACACAGACTATATTCTGTGATTACAACTACTTGGTTCTGAGAAGTTAGAGAGAGAGCATGGAGAGTTATAACAGAAAGGTCAATGAGTAGGGTTCATCCTTCATTCATTTGGCAGAGGTTGACAGTAAAGGCATTTTCTCTTCCAGTACAAGCAGTATTATGGCAAGGTCCCAAAAGACTAAAAGAAAGGAATGAGTTAAACAATTCCCTGTATTCTCTGTGTTAGGTACTACTGTACCTCATTCCTAGCACAGAACCGTCCACACACAGATGGCAGCAGCCATGGTAATGGTAGTAGGATGGTGAAGATGGTGAAGATGGTGAGGATGATGAGGATGGTGGGAGTGAGAATAAGTGAGGATGATGATGGTGATATGACTATGATGGTGATGATGGTGGTGGGGGTGGTGGTGGTGATGATTATGATGTTGGTGAGAATTGTGGTGATGAAGATGATGATGGTGATGAGGATGGGGATGGTGAGGAGGATGATGATGGTAGTAAGAGGATAATGGTGGTGAGTACGACAGTCATGGTGATGATCACATGATGGTGGTAATGGTGAGGGGGATGATGATGGTGAAGGTGCAAATGGCGACGATGGTGGTTGTCATTCATTGCTGAGCATTTCTATTCTAGATGCTATTCCAAGCATTTCCATACATTATCGCACTTCATCCTCACAACAACTCTGTGAGGCAGGTACAATTATCCTCATTTTAGAAATGAAGAAACTGGCTCAAAAACTACTTTTGTGAGTACTCCAGCATGACAAGGAGATGCAAAGTACTTCATATCACTGAGGCCAGCAGGGGGTCCCCAGTCATTCAGCGCCAACCACAAACAGTCCTAAAGGCCTTCTGTGTTCCCAGTTCATGAGAGAAGCTTAGGAACCATGGTTTACTTAGCTCCTCCTGGGAACTTATCACTGTGTTAGAGGTTTTATGTGCGTTGTATTCTTTTATCCTCCCATATCGGAATATACGAGTACTATTATTTTCTTTCTTTTTCAGGTAAGGAAACTGAGTCTCAATGCATTAAGAAACTTGCTCAAGGTCATACAACAGGTACCTGGTAAGGTCAGGAGTCAAACGAGTCATTGTGATCCTAATGCCTGTGGTTTTTCTGGGACCCCACACTCTTTCTGAAGATCCAGAGAGGTACCAGGTACGTGCCCAACTCCTAAAGGACATACTCTGTCATCAACTTAGCAGAAAGAGAGCTAAGAGCACTCGCTCCCCAAGGTGAGCCGCCTCTCCCATGCACACCATGAGCCATGCCCAAGGAAGGCCCATGTGCGTCACACAGCAGAATGCTTCTGAGCGTGGGCTTTGGAGACCAGCTGCCAAAGTTTGAATCTCAACTGTGCACTTACTAGTTGTAGGAGCAGGCTACTTGACTTCTCTGTGCCCCTGTTTACCTGTTCATAAAATGGGGCTAAGATCCCACAGGGATGTCATAAGGATTAAACACTAAGATGTATGCACCGATCATGGAGCCGGGGCCACCGTAAGCCTCAACAAATGGGAGCTGCCATTATCACCAGCCCTAAGTACTTGTTGACCTAATTTGACCTAAATGTGGGTCAGATGGGTACACGCACGGCAGTGCAGCTTGATTTATTTACACCAAGGTAACTTGACCCGCAGCCTCTGCCCCTTTTTCATTTGGCAGCAAAGAGGATTTTCTCAGCCACAAGCACTCAGTTGGGTTGAACCCAAAGGAGCCCTTCGCAGGCCTCCTTCCTAGATTCATGACAATGGACCAAGTGTCCCAACAGCCACATGGTACAGCTGGGATTCAGTTCAGATCCCTCTGCCCTCCAAGCCCCTGCTCTTAACTACCATCACCACCTGCCTTTCCCATCACTGTCCTAAGAGGTAAAGCACACCTAACAAGCTAGGTTTGTAAATCCTGAAGTAAACCCTCCGGGGGAATGCAGGTCAAGTAATGTAAGGGGAACTATTTGAAGCGTTGTTGGCTAGCATCCTAAGGGACCCAGAAGGTTGATGTTGCCACTAAAGACCTGAGTGGTGAAAGATTTGCTGTGTGGTCCAGCTGGGAAGATGTGAAATGTCTAAAGAGGGACCTTGAAAGTTATTCCCCACTCCTCCTGCCTGGCTTCTCCGCTTCTTTTGATAAAGGAAAGAAAGGACTCTACTTTTTTTTTTCTTGCAAAGCCAGTTGTTTGTGTCTATTTCTGCAAGACTTTGTTACAAATAAAAGGCTTCCCTGCATGCACAGAAAATCACTCTTTCTCAGATATCCAAAAGATGCAGCATTTTGAAATGAAAGAAGGAAGTTGTGATACAATACGCATAGTTGCTCCCATTTCGAAGAATCGGTATCCAACCGAAAGAAAAATCTGAAGAAAAAGACATGCAAGTGTGGGGAGCGTTATCCAGCGTGGTGGGATCGCGTAGGACCTTTGCTTTCACTTGGTGGTTCATCAGCTATTTGCTGCAGCCCTACTGTGTGCCGGCCAGGGAGCGAGAGCAGTGAACACCGCCCGTGTCACGGATGTCTGTAATGTTTGGGTTTGTGTAAGAGACACATATAACTTTTGTAACCAGAAATATAATGACGAATTGCTTCTTCTTCTCGAGAAGAGAGAAATCCCACTATGATTACGGCTCCTGGTGGAACCCAGATGGGTGACCACACACCCCCTCTTCCCCTTCAACATCCTTTTTTTTAAAAAAAAAAAAAAGATTTATTTATTTATTTATTCAGAGAGAGAGAGAGAGAGAGAGGCAGAGACACAGGCAGAGGGAGAAGCAGGCTCCATGCAGGAAGCCTGACGTGGGACTCAATCCCCAGTCTCCAGGATCACGCCCCGGGCTGCAGGCGGCGCTAAACCGCTGCACCACCGGGGCTGCCCACCTTCAACATCCTTGAGTCCTTCCTGTCCCTAATCCTCTCTGCATCCTACTCATGCTTTGATCCTTCCCCTCAGGTTCCTGGGTCACATGTTGCATCCCACTCTAACCACCCAAATCCATGTGCTCCTATAGCTCATGCCAACATCACCCAGGCCGTCTCCCCCGACCCCTGCCATCTCGATGTTCTCACAGAGCACCTCCCCTGATACACCCTTCACATTTGCCACCCCAGCCCTTACTCACAAGCCTCCAGTCACTCGAAACAGAATGACAGACCCGGGTCTGGATTCTGATCCTACCACTTGCCAGCTCTGCAGCTCGACCTTGCTGAGTTTCTGTGGCCTCACCTACAGATGCAAACACATTTCCTTGCTGGGTTGTTTATAAGGATTAGAAACTATCACGTGTAAACCTCCTGGCACGGTGCCTGGCACAAAGCAGGTACTTAATACTTGATAGCTATTATTATAATATTACTGTTCTATGCTTACATGCTGGAAATTTGCAGAAAGCTGCACTGCCAGGGATCAAGGCCCCAGGCATGAACATATTCAGCTCTCTTCCTTTCTCTGCCTCCCTACCATCTTTCCTCCCTCCCCTCCAAATCCCCACTGTCTTCTCACTGTGTGATCCCCACTGCATCTCCAGATGCAGCTCTTCCCTCCCTGTGTGTCCCCTTCCCTGTCCCTCCTGGGGGGAACCTGTGCACAGGGTCCAGAAGAACGACTTCCCCCTCTGGCCTCCACAGCCTTTCCCTCCCTCTTATTCCTCCCCTTGCCATCAAACGCGCGTCTCAGGATGGCGGTTCTTCCCTGGAACCTGCTGCTGCTATAGCTCTCTTTCTCCTCAGGACACTCCTGTCCCACCGATGACCTTGAGGAAGCGTTAGGCCCTCTGTCTTCATTGCAAACTTCCTGCTGTGGCGCTGCCTCCTTGCTTTGCCCCCGCACGCATCTGGCCCGGGGCCTCCTGCCCTGGCGGGTCCCCCATCCCTCCCCAGCCCGTGTTCTCTCACCCAACACCCTCGGATGTCTTCCTGGAAACACCCTCACCCCTTGGCTCTCCTGTGCCTGGCACACCCGGCCTGGCTCCTGACCCTCTCCATTCGTTTTCAGCAGCCCCTTTCACTATTCCTGCCCCTGCGAGAAGGTTTCCTCTAGGGCAGCCCTCCGTCCTCCCCTCTCTCCTGTCTCCTTTCTCATGAAGAAAGTCTCCATCCGGGCAATCCAACAGCCACTCCCAGGGCAGCAATGGCCAAGGGGACATCCCCACATGCCGTGCTGCCGGGAACGGTGGTACAGATTTGGTGCCACCTAAGGCAGCAGGTGGCACCGGGGCCGGGGCCACGTCCACCAGGAAGAAGGCTGCTGTCTCCTAATCTCACGAAGACCTGCGTGGGCCGGGCTGTTCCTGCTCCCTGCCGACCACCCTTCCTTCGTGTCCTCCCAGTACCTCAAAGCTTGGCAGCTCCTCCCTTCTCGCCAGCCCCCACACCACCCAACCTGTCTCCTCTGTCTGACGGTGGGGCCACCATCCTATCCCGAAACACAGCTTTCTCTCCCTCTTCTTTTTATCCCCATTTCTCCCACCCTGGTATAGAACATGGGCACTGACGACCCGGACGTCCATGGGCTCTCAGCCTCTAACTCGGAAGAAGGGATTTGGCCCCTGGGACACACCTGCCAATGTCTGGAGATACTTTGGTCTCCACACCCCACGGTGTGCAGGATGGCCGCCCCAACAAGGATTGCCTAGCACAGCCCATCAGTAGAGCTGCAGTTAGGAAACCCTGCTAGTTCCTCCCAGATATTTGTCTAGGAAGAAGAAAAGAAAGAAAAGAAAAGAAAAGAGAAAAGAGAAAAGAAAAGAGAGAGGAGATGAGAGGGAAGAGAAGAGAAGAGAAAAAGAAAAGGCAAAACACAAAACAGTCTGCATCAAGCCAGTCCAGTGCTCCATCAGCCACTGAAGTCGCAGTGACCCAGACGCTGGAGTCACACTGACTTGACCCCCAGGCCTGGCTCGGCTGATTGCCAGGCTCACTGGGCCACCGTGTGTCTCAGGGCCCAGCTGCCTCACCTGTCAAACGGGGTGGTGAGCAGGTGATACGGGGGGCGATGCCTTGATTGCTTGGCAGAGAGCTGGGCACGCAGCACATGCTCAGTGTACTTCAGGGATGTTTCCATCAAGTTTACACTCTTTTTAAGCTACTGTTCCAGCCCTGCCATGAACTGAGCCACCTCCCGCCCCCTGCCTCCCATCACCTGTGCAGCCAGTGAAGCGAGGCACCCTGGCCGGATGTGCGCTGCCCCCCAGCTCCCCTCCTGCCCCCACCCCCGTGTTCGCTCCCTGGGGCTGCTGCAACAAGTACCACAAGCGCAGAGCCTCAACACTACACATTTATTGTCCCACAGTCCTGGAAGCCAAAAGCCTGAAATCAGCTTCCCTGCACTCAAGTCAGGGTGTCAATGGGACTGAGTCCCCCTGAAGGCTCCAGGGAAGGCTTCATTTCTTAGCCTTTCCAGTCCCTAGAAAGGAATTCCTCACATTCCCTGGCTTGTGGCCCCTTCCTCCCGTCTGCAGAGCCAGCAGCACAGCATCTTCCAGCCTCTGCTGCTCTCACATCCCCTGTCCTTCATCTTCCTGTGTGATTATACTGAGTCCCCCCAATATCCCAGGATGATCCCCCCCATTGCAAGATCCTTAACTTGATGAAGGATCACCTTAACCAGCAAAGTTCCTTCTGCCCCGTAAGGTGACATTCACAGGCTGCAGAGACTAGGACCTGGATATCTTTGGGGGCCAACCTGTAGCCTGCTGGGCCGCATCTTCCATTCAGAAATGCCCTGCCCTCCGACTCTGAGCTCTACGTACCCAGCAGTGCCCACACCTGGTGACTCCTCGGCCAAGTAGCCTCCTGTGATAGCTCCAGGCACATGATCGCTCCTCCTCTGAGATTCTCACACCCCCGCACCCCATCAGCCGTCACTTAGACGCCACATGAGCCACTGCGTGTTTCCTACCAGGCAGTTAGACCCTGTCTCTCGGACTGAACCTTGAGGAATGGCTTTGTAGCATCCCCTCGCCTCCCCCCTCCCCCAAAGCACTCAGCTCATGGCTTTGCACACAGTGGACATTGAGTCAAGAGAGGGTGCTCTGTGGATGGGTTTTATTTTCCATCTTCAAAAAGAAACTAGATTTGAGGCTGACTAACCATTTTAAAAACACACATTGGGTGGCAGCTCATGTCTTCTTGATGGAGGGCGGGGGGCAGTGTTGCCCGCATCCACCTGTGAGCGAGCTCTGTTACGACGTGGTTCAGAAAGCGAAGGAGGTGAATTGAATTGAGACTTACCTTCTTCTTGCTTCTCTTTTCAAGGACTGTCCTTGTATCTGGAATATCTCCTGGTATACTATAAAAAAATTACAAGCCAAACCCAGGAACTTCAGGTAATATTTTCAGTCTGAAGTTATCTCAGCTCCTCGTTGGCATTTATATGGCACTGTGCATTTTAGCCCTGGTCTTTCCCTGTTAACTAGTCCGTCGACATCCTCCCATGACGTGACGTGATATCTCCATTTGACACAAAAGGATTCAGACATGGTGGCTAAGATCTCCCAGGAGGGCAAGGGCAAAGACAGGATGCTTGTTTCCTTCTGTCAAAATTATCAGAAAATGTAAATGCCATCAGATCTTGAAAACCATAGTTATTAAAAACACAGTGGAAGCAGCACAGCTAGCCGCATGCAGGGAGCACAATGACCAAAAAGTCACAAATGTCCACATCGTAGAGGCAAGTGATCCTTAGGGAATGCGCCACTCTGGTAGCTGGTGCTATAACGATGCTTTGTAATAAACACCTACAAAACTTTAGCGGCGTTCCACAATTATTATTCGCTGGGGTCAGCTGCTCGGTGGGTACGCCAACCCGGACAGGCTTGCCCAAGTGTCTGGGTGTTGGCTGGCCCTTGATTGGTCTGGGTTGGCCTCTGCTGGAGCAGCTCTACTCTGCTCCACCTGTCTCTCATCCTCCTACAGGCCAGCCTGGGCATGTTCCCATGGTGATGCAGAGATGTAAAAGAAAGCAGCGCAATCATGGAACGCTTTTCAATTCTCTGCTGTGTTATGTCTCTTAATATCCCACTGGCCAGAGTAGATCACATGGCTGAGGTCAGTGTCAGGGCAGCATATGGCTGTGCCCTGCCAAGTACATGGCCAAAGACATGAATAGAGAAAAGGTGAGGTATTGGGACCAAAGGGCCAGATGGCAAATATTTTAGGCTTCCAGGTCATACAGCCTCTGTCACACCTACTCAATGATGCTGCTGTGGAGTAAACACAGCCATTGACAATACGTGAATGAATGAGCATGATGGGAGTGGCTCTGTTCCAACAGAACTTTATTTATAAAAATTGGCAGTGAACCAGATTCGGCCTGTAGACAGTACTTTGTCGACCCCTCATCTAGTCCATGCTCCTTATTTCACAGATATGGACATCAAACCTCAGAGGCTAGGTGACCGTTCCAAGGTCACACAGCTAGCTGATGAAAGAATCAAGACAAAAGCTCAGGCCTTCTGACCCTAGCTCGTCGCTTTTTCTCTTCCACTCAGCAAATAATAACTCATAATTCTAGCTGCCATTTACTGAGCACCTGCTATGTGCTAAGCGCTGTGCCAAAAGCTTTCCATCACGACCTCACTTAATCCTTACTCTGAGAGGCAGACACTGTTATTACTCTCATTTTCTAAATGAAGGAGCATCTAGAAAGAAATAGAGCTGAAATTCTATCTAGATCGAGAGTCCGAGTTCTTAACCACTCTGCTGTTTCACTACCAGCAACTAGGCTAAGCATAGCTTTTCCATGTTTTTAAGAAAGTTTTGGGCAAACCCTTGGCTGTCCACCTAAAGGTAAAGAACATGTAAAAAGAGAAATGCTGAAATGACTCCTTAATTCGTCCTGTCCCCCTCATCAGCTTCAGTTCTCCTTCCTCTGGTTTCAGATCAAGATCCACAGCTCTCAGGAAACCCAGCAGTCTTTTATGCAAGAGAAGCTGCAGGAGCATCTTGCAGAGAAGGAGAAGCTGAATGAGGATAGGCTGCAGCAAGAGGAGAAGCTGAAAGCCAAAATCAAGAAGCTGATGGAAGAGAAGGCGGTAAGGCCGTCCCTGTCATTTTCTTTACTCCTGGAAACTATGGAATGGCCTTTGCTGAGGGCATGTACTTGGGGGGAGAAATCTGAGTGATTCCTTGTTCGATGCTATGGAAGTAAATTAATTAAATAGGTGAATGATGCTGGAGGATTAAGACGAAGCTTGAATTCTAAAACTTATAGCGAAATCAACTTGAAACGTCAAGGTTATTGAAATTCCTGGAACTGGTCCCTTATTAGCTTAGATGCCACAGTCGATTTCCCAAGTTTGAGTCATTACTGCCAGTCCTGGTTTGCAACCCACAGACTATCTCTAAGTGCATGAAAGACCAACTTCACAGCATTTCCATCTTCCACTCTTTATTCATATCATAGGGAAAAAATGGCCAAGATTGCTACTTACTTTCCTAAACACCAAGCCAGTTAGAAGATTCTCTCTTTCTGAAATAATAAATAAATTAAATCTTTTTTTTTTTTTAGAAAGAGATTATGATTGGGGAAGGGAGAGGGGCAGAGGGAGAGGCTGACTTCCCACTGTGCGGGGAGCCCGATGCGGGGCTCGGTCTCAGGATCATGACCTGCGCTGAAGGCAGACACTTAACCGACTGAGCCACCCAGGCATTCGGTGGGGCGTCCCAGGTTGAAATCAGTCTGCCTTAAACCCTAAGACACCATCACCCCCAGCCTTTCTAAAAATACATGTGTCAAAACTCGTTAATTAAACTCCCTTCTCATGAATCCTGACTCATGTGAGGACTACTTGAATAGTAAGAAATTCTAGGTTCTTTTATCAAGCTAATCCTTTTCTATTATGAACCGTTGACAACATGTACTTGACTTGTGCACACACTAATGGTTTAGATCAGGCTCAGCAAACTTTTTCCATAAAGAGCCACATAGTATGTATCTTCAGTTTTGTGAGCCGCGTTGCTCTCCTGTGACTGCTCAGCTCGGCTGTTGCGGTGCAAAGGCAGTCAGTCATACGCAATCTGCAAACAGTGAGCAAGGAAGCGTTCCAATAAAACTTTACAAAATGCAGAGAGCAGGCCAGGTTTGGCTGATAGGCCAGAGTTTGCCAACCCCTGGTTTAGAAAACAGACTTTGGAGTCAAATGGACCAGGGTTCGAATCCCTCCTTGTGTGATTTGCTGGTAAATTTGGCAGATTCCTTAATCCCCCTAAGTCCCTCTAAGTGTTCTACGAAGTGGAGATCACAGAAGAAATGACTGACCCTTATTAATGAGTGGTGATCACACGCCAAGTGGCTCATGTCCAGCCTCCCGTCTGCCCCTCACATTCTCCCAGGGCAGGAAGCACTATTACTATCCTCATTGTACAGAGAGGGAAACTGAGGCTTCTTTCCCAAAGTCGTGCACCCAGAAAGGACCAACCTGGGGCTCTGAGCTGAGCCTGCCCACTCCAGATCCCTTGCTCCTAGCTGCCCACAGTCTCCCCCGTGGGGTTGTTGGAGCAAAGAGCTAGCCCGTGCAGTGGCTGGCATGGAGTCCAGATTCCTGCCATGGCAACTATACCTATTAAACAACAGTCATTGACTTTCAGGCTTTGGAGGAAAGCATCACTGAAGAGAAAAACAGAGCAAAAGAAGCATTAGAAGAAGAACAGAAGAGAATCCAAGAGCTGGAGAATCGCTTAGCCTGCCAGAAGAAGGTAGGCAGCTGGAGGAGACAGAGTCAGCCTGAGCCCAAATCAAGGTCACTCACCCAGGAAGGACCCACCTGGGCTCTGGGCTGAGCCTGTCCGCTCTGGATCCTTGTTCCTAGCTGCCCGCGGCCTCCCCGGTGGGGCTGTGGCGAGCAGCAAAGAGCTGCCCGTGCAGTTCCTGGCACAGAGTCCAGATTCCTGCCATGGCAACTAGGTCTATTAAAACACTGGCCATTGGGTTGCAGGTCTGGGAGGAAAGCTTTACTCAAGAGAAAAACAGAGTGAAGGAAGCATTAGAAGAAGAACAGACCAGAGTCCAAGAGCTGGAGAATCGCTTAACCTGCCAGAAGGAGGTAAGGAGGTATGCCGCTGGGGGAGACAGTCGGCTCGAGCCCAAATGCGGCTCGAGGGCCATGTGGAAGTGAGTTCTGAACCACGGATGATGGGGGTAGAGCTCGGCAGAGCGTTCCTACGGCGATCTGTCCTTGGGAGGGTTCGGCTACTCTGGGGAGCCGCGGGGCTCAAGGGGAGAGCCCTCGAGCTGTAGCCTCGCCAGCCAGTTGGAGAAATCATAAACCGCAAAAATACCGACGTAGATAGGACTCGAGAGACGAGTTGGGGCTGGCGACACGAGCACGGTGATTGTGTCCCAAAGCATAGACGAGGCACAGAGTCCTGGGGCTTCGGGGCTGTGTCAGTCTTCCAACAACATCCTAGAATCATCCAGCCTCCAGCTCCACCGTCGAAGAATTTTCTACAGGCCCAGTTGTGATGCCTTGGCCTGGCAGGAAATCCTTCTCTGAGGTTGAGCTCAATCAAACTCTTCCTCCCAGAGAGCATCAATCCTCCGCCAACCTCCCAGGCTCCTGCCAAGACCTGTCCACATCCTCGTCCACATAATAACCTTTTAGATGCTTGAAAACAGAGACACCTGCTCCTCTCTAGGCCCGAATGCCCCTGTTTCCCCTTATAGGCCTCCCAGGACAGGAGCCGGGCCTCGGTCCCCTCCTCCGACCCGCTCTGTGCTCCAGAAGGCACAGGCTGGCAGCTCCCTGGCTGAAAGGGCCTGTGGACATGTTATGTTTGGTCCCAGAGTGTTTTATTTTGAATTCATAACATTTACTTAAAAATCCAGATTTCCATCCTCTTCTGAAAAGTCAGAAAATCTGGCCCCGTTTCCACTTGGCAGAAGCGGACGGGAGCTCCACCCAGCAGCAGTGATGTCCCACAGTCCCCGCCGCTCGCTGTTGCGTTAAACGCAGCCCACGTCATTGCTGGTACCCGTGTGGCCCCTGTAGGTACCCGAGCTTGCAACCCCCGCTCTGTTTTGTTCCTGAAGCGCAGGAGCCAGAACCAGACCCGGTTCTCCGGCCACAGCGGCCCAGGGCAGGACTCTTCTCCCCTGTTGAAGATTTTGTGCTCGTGCAGACGCTCCCAAAGCTGCTCTGGGGAGAACTCTGTGACGCTGTGGGTGCAGGTTTGCCTTGGGGTCAGCCGGGGCTCTCGGGGTCTCTCAAGAACTGCGCTCCTGAGCTCTTCCAGGACTTGCAGCCACATGAGACACAGGTTCAAGTCCTGGCTGGACGACATAGGGGCCTCAGCAGATCGCCCAGGACCTCCCTCCTTTCGGGGTGGCTGCGAGGGCTGGTGGTCACGTGCTACAAAGCGTTTGACCTGGAATTGCCGCTCAGGAAGTGTAGCTACTAGAATGATCACAGGCACTTCCTTCCCCATCAACCCCCCCCCCCGCCCGCCCCACCCTCCCTCCTCCGCCAGCCACCGCTGCAGGAGCAACAAGGAGTCAGCAGGGCCGAGCCCGTGCTATCTGCTCAGATCCAAGGAGGGAAGATGTTTGTGTGCCGGGTCTCACTCGGGGTCACCTGTGCAGCTGCGCTGGGCGGCCCGTGTAAACAGTGCCACTGGGGGCTGGCCCTGAGTTATCTCTGCAGGGATGGTGACAAGGAACAGAGGCTCCCAAGGGTTCACTGGGGCCAAATGCCACCAAGAGGTCAACCACTCAGCTCCAGGGCCCTGAGAAGGCCCTTGAATTTAGAGACTTCGAGGTCAAGGGGGACTTCAAGGGAGAGATTTAAGGAAGGCGTGCTGGGGTCAGCCTCACTGTGGGGAGAAGCTGTGGCCAGGTCACCCCCAGCCTAGGAAAACACCATCCGACCCCTCCTGGCGGAAAGTCTCTGTGCTGTCTGGATGGGGAAATCTGAGCAGACTTTCACCAGCCTCAGACGGTTCCTTGACTTTTCCTTTTCCTAGGCCCTCTGCCACATAATCAGATGAGCCTTTAAGGACAGCAGACTGCTAGGTCATAATGCGGGGTTCGAGGTACCGTGAAAGGTCGACTCCCACTCCCTGCTTGGGAACATGGGGGCAAAGCAGGGCCCGTGTGTGGGGAGTCACAGAGGACCACCTTCCTCTGAGCACCTCTCTCAGCTGCAAAGGGGCTGCCCAGAGGAAAGTCCAGAGTGTAGACGCGACATCAGATGCAGAGGAGCCAGCCCGGCGTCCCTGGAAAGTGCCCGCAAGTCTCTTTCACGAATTACAGGAAACCTCCCCAAACCCCACCTCAGATGTTCAAACTCCGCGTGCCAACTCCCGTGGTGACACCGCTCACCTGCTTTCTTTAGGGCTGCTAGCGGAACGGCTGAGCGTTGGGAACTTTTTTTTTTTTTTATGACTTTTCACTGCAAAACAGACAGCATTTCGGCCGGGCTAATCTGAGCAGATCCCTAACCACTGGCTGTAATGGAAACCGTGTTCCACGTTCCAGACGTCTTCCGGGCGAGCTGGTGCTTAAAACTCAACCTGTTTGGAAGCTGACGTGCCCTTTCTTGCAGAGACTAGAAACAGGGGCCTCTTGGGCAACTCCTACCCCTTGTGATTTGTGTTAACCACTTACTCCCTAAATAAAACTCCTCGAGCACGAGCACCTAACCACACTTCCCCCCAGACACCCTCTCAGAGCTCCGCTTGTGAGGTTCACCCCCACCCCTTCTAGAAATTGGAATGTTGTGGCTCATTAATTCAATCCTCATCTTGAAACCGGATTCTCCTTAAGAGATTAAGCTTAATAATAGGATATCCATTATTAATGAGATTCTTCTTATCAGAGAAGGCTGCCTGGCACGGTGATAAGAGCTCAGATTCCAAAATAAGACAGACCTGGTTCCCTCACTTGCTCCCTACCCCGGGCCTCTGGATGCAGGCGGCGTGCGTCCTCCGCACGGGGCTCAAATCCTCACCTCACCACCGACACACTGCACGACCCTTGGGCACGACCCTTGAGCCACTCTCTTCTTCGGTTTCCTGGTCGGCAAAATGAGGTCCCTGACGCCCTCACCAGGGTTGCCTTGCTGGGATTCGCCGTGTGGGACGTGCTGGCCGTGGGCCCCGGCCCACCCGATTAGTAGTAGGGTTGTCATGGGCCGCGCACCCCGCCCCCCAGCCCCCGAAATGCGCAGGCAACCACAAAGACCGGTCATTGGTTTTCAGGTTTTGGAGACCAGCATGGCCCAGGAGAAAAGGAAGGCAAAGGAAGCTTTAGAGACAGAAAAGAGAAAAGTGCAAGATCTGGAGAACCACTTGACCCAACAGAAGGAGGTACGAGGAGCAGGGCGCTGAGTGGGCCAGGCGCCCAACCCCTGCGGGCGGAGCTCCGAAGCCAGACCTGAGGCCGGTCCTGTGCCCCGAGGGAGAGTAGGGCAGGCCAGGGGGTGGGTGCTGGCTGGGCCCCACCGGCGGTGCAGCCAGGGCACGTCGAGCCTCAGCTGCCGCCTCTGTAAAACGGGAGTGCCGGCAGTCCCAGCCTCGCAGGATGAGGTGACCGGACGTAGACGGCGTACCTGAGCCGCACGGTGCACGTCCCTGGCCCTCCGCGGAGGCCTCATCTGCACGGCCCCCGAGGGCAGGGGCACGTGCTCCAGGAGAGAACCCTTGGAGGGTGTCTGGGTCAGTCCCCCAGCCAGCATCTCTGCCCCTCCTCGGAAGGTATTTCCGACACAACCCAGCATGGGCGCCCTAGAAAAACACCTGCTCCCAGCCCCGTCTCCTGGTTTCATCGACTTGTGGTAGAGACACAAACAGTGGTGGAGTGACCGGTACGTGACACGCTCGCAGGCCAGTCACACCAACAAGTGCCAGAGGTCCGGACTGGATGAGAAGTAGTGCACCCATGGTCTGGGCAGGCCCGAGTACTGCGCCCGGGGAGAGCTGGAGACACCCGCATCCAGCCACCTCCGCCAGCCCGGGGACTGGGCCCACCGTGAAAGGCAGGCCCCCAGGCTGAGGGGAGGGATGTCACTCATGTGAACCCAAACACCCCAACCGCCCCCCGTCCCAGAAGCCAAAGAAGGGTTCAGGAGCTGGAGGCCAAGGAGAGGTGCCCTCAGTGACCGATAGCGGCAGCTCCGTGAGCTGGGCTCCAGGGACACAGGAACATAGACACGTGCTGGCCCTCATGGAACTTCCAGAAACAGAGTCACGACCCCATGAATTGTTTAATTCTGTCTCATGCATCCATCCACAAATATTTCCCAAGCACCTGACGTGGGCCAGGCCCTGCTAGGTGTTGGGAACCCCACAGGACACCAGAGCCGTGGCCTCCCAGAGCTTCCCCTAGAGGGTGGAGGGACAGACACCACCAAACAGGTCACACGATAGCTGCAGAGCCACAAGCCTGGGGAGGGGGACTGATATCAAGTAGGTGGGCTAGAGAGTGGTCACAGGCAGGGAGGGCCTCTCTGAGGAGGTGACGTTTGAGTGAGACCTGGAGCGGAGGAGGAACACGAAGGGAACATCTGGGGGGAGAGGGAGCCACTGGGTAACGTGGCCCAGCTGCAAAGGACAGGGACCTCCCTCAGCCAGGGCAGCAGGAGCAGGTGTGAGGAAGGAAACAAAGATGGAACAAGGTGGAAGCCAAATGAGGGCTCGGGGGAAGAAAGCCAGAGGGAGACTCAGAGGGGGCAAGGCAGGAAAGCCTGGTAGGCTAGAAGTGTCGATTCTGGTTCAAATCCCACCTCTGCCGCAACATGCTGTTTGACCCTGGCCAACGCCTTCCCTCACGGTTCCCCCATCCGTAATGTGGGTGTAGTGACAGTGCCCCTCTAGAGGTGTGTGGTGAGGAGTCAGTGTATTCTTTATGAATCACCCGCCCAGGTGAGGTCAGCGTCCAGGTGGGGGGTGGATGGGGTGTGTACAGGGTGTACAGGGTGGGGTGGGCGCGGGGGAGGCAGAGAGTCAAGCAAGGCCCCCGGCAGTGGGACTGCGTCGGCCTGTGCAGGGAGTGAGGTCAAACTGTCGTCAGCAGCTGTGCCCAGAGTGTCCCCTGCATATGCGCCAGGGGTGGAAGCGCGGGCGCCTGCGTGGTGTGTGGACTTGGAGCCACGACCCTACAGGCAGGTGTCGGCCTCTGCGTAGGGTGGGGTTTTAATCAGGAGGACGCGCAGGTCAAGGTCGGGAAGCCGAGGGGCCACACGGTTAGGGCAGGGCTCTGGCATCCCGGTGGCGTGACCTCTGCACCTATTTGGGTTCTTACCGCCTCCGTCCCGGCCTCCACGGCCTCCCCTGCAAGACGCGCCTCGCTGGGCAGCGCTCTCTGGGCCTTGCCCATCAGCTGGGCCGACGCACTCCGCGCACGCAGCCGAGCACCCGTGTTGCAAGCGTTTCAAGAGGAGTCAGCGTCACCCTTGTTTTCAACTGGGACACGAGGCCCGCAGCGGGGGGCTGGCAGCCTCTACGACTGGCGGGCGGGGGCAGGACAGTCTCCGCGGGCTTGGCAGCGGGCAAATGCCAAGCTCGTGCAGGGAGCTGAGTCAGAGCCCGGGTGGGGCGGGAGGCCTGCGCGGAGTGGGGCAGGTGGACGGCGGCCGCGGACACCGCGCTCAGCAGGCAGGGCCATTGGAGACACCGTCTTTTTCCGCAGGACCGCGCATCCCCAAGGCCCGTCCTGCCCCCAGCACCGCATTCCCTGTCACAATTTCCAGTCATTTTTCCTTTTGCCAAATAATGTATGTTCGTGCAAAAAAAAAAAATGTCAAAGATACAGACCAGGGAAAAGAGGAAAATGTAAATTGCCATAATCCCAAACCCCCAAAATAACCGATATTTACATTCCAGTACATATCTCTCCAGGCCCTCGTCTATGCATAGATGCATATATTTTAATTTTTTTCTGTGTGAGCTTTATGTTTGTATGGGAGCATAACTGCAAGGATTCCAAGCCGCAAGTTGAGTTTTCCAACCTCCCCGCACTGTGTACCTCCTGGGGCCTGTGTAGGTGAGGCTGGTCCTCGGTGCCCACCTCCCGGTCACCGGAGCTGTGGCCTACATGTTCTCAGGGCCACGCTGTCCTGGACATCAATTTTTGGACCCAAGCCTTTGAAGGCTGGGGAGAGATTGAAGCCACAGGAATCAAGTCTGCTGGGACAGGAGGCATCCCCCCTGGCCCCCGACTTTGCCTCCCCTGCCCCACCTCCCAAGAAGCCAGGTACTTCCCTGCAGAGCGCCCACACCGGTGCAACACCTGCCAGCTTAATTAGTGGCCCCGTGCCAAACGCCGTGGCCTGAACACTCACCAGCCCATCCCTTCCCGAACATAGCCCCGAAATCCTGAACGATGAATAACCCTCTTTTATGCGGTGACTAACCAGACCTGCCCCCGAGGCCCTCACCGAGGCCAGCATGCCAAGACTCCCACCCCCGCCTCCCCGCGTCCTGCTCCCTGAGCCCTCGCTCCCAAACCCTGACTCACCCGTCTCGTCTCGGGGGTTACTCATCCTGGCTACCCCCCCACCCCCCGTGCCACTTCCCTGCCTCTCTGGCGGACACTCCCTCTAACCTGTTGTCACTGACTTCCAGATTTCAGAGAGTAGCATCGCCTATGAGAGACACAAAGCAAAGGAAGCCATAGAGAAGGAGAAGAAAAAGGTGCAGGATCTGGAGAACCGCATAACCAAGCAGAAAGAGGTAAGAGTCTCAGAGAGGAGCAGACAAGGAGGCGCCCGGCATGGTTAAGAGCAGGGCTCAGGAGGCAGGCGGTCTGGATTCGAATCCCACCTCTGCTGCTTCCTGGCCGTGCAACACGAGGCAAGTTCCTTACCATCTCTGTGGCTACGCTCCCCTGCTTAGGGCATCCAGGTGATGCCAGTAGATCAGCCCCATTGAGTTGTGAGACTTGATTGCTAACAAGCTCATAAAACATGCAGGAAAGTGTCCAGCACTTAATAATAATAATAATAATAATAATAATAATAATAATAAATAAATAAAAGCATCCAACACACAGAGCATTCACTGTTGTTCTTTTGTTATTATTATTATTAATATTATGAGCTCACAGCTGGGAACTGGAGGCAGAACAGAGCCCTGCACTGCCCCCCTCCTCTTCCTACATCCTTGAACACTGTGTGGCCTCAGCTGTCTGGGATCAAAGTGGCAACGTCAGGAGACGGATGCCTGAATTTCCCATCACCTTGACGCGGCGTCTCCACCAGAGCTTGTCACCGTGGGCATCATGACCCTCCCAGTCAAACTGTGTTTACGGTTATTCCTGGGAGGAGCAGACCCAATAGGAGCACCAGTTGTTGGGTCCTCCTCACTGTAGGACTGAATTCACTCCTCCTGGGTCCCAACAGTACAAGGGACACACACACACAGACACACACACACACAGTGGCTGATCCTGAAAAAGTCAAGGCCAGGGATTAAACTCACGAGCTGACAATAGGGGTGAAATTGGAAGGCAGGTGACTACAGGTCAAGGGACTCTGAAGACCCTATGGGACTAAAAAGGTCTTTGCCTCTATTCACATCAATCTGAGATCATTTTCTTTGGAGAATGATTTCCAAACATTAGCTTGCACAGAATCACTTGGGGGGGGGGGGGGGCTGGGGAGGCTGTTTTAAACGCCCATTTCCCAGACCTTGCCCCCAGAGATTCGGATTCACTGTCTATGGGGTGGACTCAGCAATCTGTATTTTTAACAAGCAGCCCAAGTGATGCTGGTTCCCTTGGAATAGCACTGCCGTGGGGGGATGAGTGGCGGGAACCACACCTGGGTTACGTATCCAGCCCAGGCACCGCTGAGAGGGACCTCCGCCGACTGGAGGGCACCCAGAGAAGCCAGATCAGAGTTGGGGGGCAGGGAGGTGATGCAGGACCCGTCAGCCGCGGGATGGGGCACCGAGGGAGGGTGGGCAGGTGCTGTGGGCCGACGGAGCCCAAGGGATCCATCTGTTCACACGCGGTCTTGCGTCCCCAGACGATTCACCATGGATCTTCCATCAAATATCTCAGTTGGGGGTAGAAGGAAAGGAGAAATGCACATTTTTAAAGTTGATCAGTCAGGGGGCACCTGGGAGGCTCCGTGGTTGAGCTTCTGCCTTCGGCTCAGGGCATGATCCCGGGGTCCTGGGATCGAGTCCCACATCAGGCTCCCCAAGGGAGCCTGCTTCTCCCTCTGCCTCTCACTCTGGGTCTCTCATGAGTAAATAAATAAATATATTTTTTAAAAAATAATAAATAAACTAGATAAGTCAGGACATCAAATGAATCAAGAATGAGACTAATGCCTAAAAAACGTCTGTCCGTGAAATCAAAGAGCGGTCGGTGTTGAGCAGTTACAGTGAAAGCGCGGGCTCGGGCGGCTGTACGAGTCTCTGGGTGAACGTGAACCCACCGCCCCCGGACACCGGGCCACTCTCGGTGCGCAACCTGGAGAGGATGGCTCCTGAGGACCATCATACAGAGGCCCCTGCTGCGCGTCCGACAACATCTTCAACAGCCTCAGGGAAAAACAACAGTGACATCAGAGGGTGAGGTCTTCAGGGCAGATGGGTGGCCTCATACCAGACGAGGAGAAATGGGGCCCCACCCCAGGGACTCCCCCACTTACCATCAAAGACCAAGGAAGTGCAAGGTCAAAGAACCGCCCAGACCTAGGGCTGCTCATTCCCACGCTGTGTGACTCACATACACCAAAGATGTGGGCGCAGTCAGCTGTCCTCCTGTCCTTGAGTAAAAGCGGCTCAGCCGCTGGCAAGGGGCGAAGATGCCAGGCGGTGCGCTCTGCCCTTGGGCAGCTTCGTGGTCCATCGAAGAGAGCACGTATTTGCCTGCCGTGGACTGTCCGGGACGGCTGGGGTGTTCGGCCGTGAGCTGCGGGCGACAGGCTGCCGGAGGGATGCCTGCCAGGATGCCCAGCGAGCGCGTCCTCCGGCCGGGGCTGCACATGGCCTGCCTGGGATCTCCCAGCGGTCACGATGGCGTGAAGGCCCCGGAATAGAGTCAGGTGGCGTTCCGCGGGGGCACGCAGACGACGAAGCACCCCCCAGGCCAGGCTTACAGGAACCGCACGACGAAAATGGGTTTTTCTTGTTGCTTTTAGATGTTTCCTTTCGCAATTATAAAAGGAGCAACTATTTACAGAAAATCACTCAGAAGAAAATTAAAAAAAAAAAAGAAAAGACACTGCCTGTGATGTCCACTGAGCAGAGTCACCGCTAGCGACATTTTGATCTGATTCCTTCCGGACCACCTCCCCGTGATGGTTATCCCAGATGCCGGCAAACATCCCTTTGCCCTGTCGCGCTGTGCACACTGGCCTGGCTGCTGTATTTTAGCTCCATACGTTCCTGAAATGTCTCTATGGCATTCAACAGTCTTCCACGACCAGCCCTGGACGGTGACCGGGGTTTGCGCTGTGGTGCGTGGACCCCGATTTATTGACCCGTCCCCTGTGGTTGGGCCCCAGGGCTGTTTCTCACTTTCACTAGGAAAAAAACAAACAAACCACTTGGCCGAACAGCCCTGTGCAGCATCGGTCCTTGTGCGTGGGCCTGGTTAGGTCCTTGCGATAGATTCCCAAAAATGGAATTGCTGGGGCACAGGATGTAAATATTTTTAGAATATTTTTAGCCCCTTAATACACGTTCCCAGATGACCCTCCAAAAAGGCCGTACCGGTTTACACTGCCACCAGCAGAGTCCGAGAAGACCCGGCACCGCACCTCGTGTGCTACTGCCTCACATTGGACGAAATCCTGTTTGTGAAAAGCCTGCAGACGGTCTGATCCCAGCTACATGACATTCTGGAAAGGGCAGAACTATGGAGACGGCCAGGAGACGGGCGTCGGGGGAGGGCAGGGCTGACTAGATGGAGCACGGGGGACTTTTTAGGGCCGAGAAACTACCCTGTGCGATACTGTAATGGTGGAGACGTGGCCCCAGACATCTGTTCAGACCCATAGAGTGTACGGCATCCGGGGGACCCTAGCGTAAAGCACGGACGTCTGGTCACTGTGATTGTCAGGACAGGTTCATCAGTGGCAACAACGGTACCATCTGGTGCGGGATGTTGACGATGGGGGGCTCCTGCAGTGTGGGGCCAGAGGGCATCGAAGAGAGCTCTGTGCTGTCCTCTCAGCTTCGCTGCAAGCCCAGAACTGATGGGTCAGGGGCGCCTGGGCGGCTCAGTCCATTAAGCATCTCGACCCTCAGGTCATGACCTCAGGGTCCTGAGGTCAAGGCTGCCCTCTGCACCCCACACACACTCATGTGCTCACTCGCTCGCTCTCTCTCTCTCTCTCAAATAAATAATCTTTTTTAAAAAGAATGAAGTCAAGTAAATAAGGTTGGTGAAGCCCCCACCCCAGGACCTGTCACGAAGCTCACATCCCGTGTGGTCTGAGTCGGGGCTCACGGAGGAGGGCAGGATTTCGCGAGTCCGGGACTGGAAGAGCAGGTCCCTGGAGGAGGGAGGAGGAGGTGTGCACGGACGGACGGACGGACGGACGGCCATGCGGGCGGGAGCAGAGGGGAGAGGGGAGGCCATGGCTCCGAGGCCAGGGAGGGGTGCGGGGTGGGGGGGGGGGGCAAGGCCTATCCCGTGGCCAAGGGGTGAAGGAGCTCGGCGCGTTTATCCTGGAAAATAGATTTAGAGAGAGACAGGACAACGCTCCTCAAATACTTAAAGGGCTGTTTGATAAAAGAGAAATAAAACGTACTCGGTGCGCGCCAGGTGACAGAGCCGAGCTCGGGGACCAGAGATCGCTAAGGAGGCAGTCCCAGCGGGAGAGGAAAGAGAGCTCTATAATCACTGGAACCTTCCAGAAAAAGCGTGGACTTTGGGCTGAGAGGGGGGACCACAGCAGAGTAGAGGTCACCTCCTCTCTGAAAACGGGGGACGCGGGGGCGGAGGGGGGCGGCTAGGGCAAATATTCATCCCCCAATTTCTGTTAACTTGATGTTTATGGTGTGTCCAGGAAATAGACTTAAAAGGGCAAAGAGAAGACATTTTGAATAAGAAATTAAATGACGCCCTGGCCATGGTCCAAGAGACTCAGAAAACCAAGACGGCCGAGAGCCTCAGAGCAGAGAGCCTCGCCATGAAGTTAAACGAAACGTTAGCCGAACTGGAAACCGCCAAGACGAAAATGGTGAGTTGGTGCCTCCCGGGGACGGGAGACTCCTTCCCTCGATGAAGGATCCCAACGCGGGGAGAACGCCTGATGTAGACCAGGGCCCGACAGCCTGGGCGCCGCTGAAGCTCCGGGCCGGATACCCTTTTTCTTGTGCGAGGCCCCCCCCACCCCGGACCCTACCTGCTAGACGCCAGTAGCGTCCTCCCTGCAGACGTGTCGACCCAAAATGTCTTCAGGCTTCGCCAAATGTCCTTTGAGGAGCGAAATCGCCCTCTATCAAGAAGCACTGGTGTAGGATGAAAAGTGAGCAGAGGCCACGATGCCCTGTCTGCAGGCGTCCTGACGTGTCGTGATACAGGGTCCTCACAGGGTCCTCACAGGGTCAGGCTGAAGGACCGAGCAGCCCCAGACCTTAGTGATCAATGGCTGTGCCACAGACTTTCAGATAATGTTTTCATTTTAACTCGGCATTCAAGGCCCCCCGCCATCAGAGCTCAGTATGGCACTCATTTGTCATTCGTACATTCCAGCAACTGGTCTGTGGGAAGGAAGTAGGGAGGATTCAGGTGGCCGAAGCGCACAAAGTGAGTTTGAGAGGGGCTTGGGCTGGAGAGAGCTCAGGCTTGGTGCACGGTGGCCGGTGCCGTAGCCCGGAGTCATAGGGACCTGCAGACTCAGGCTGGCACGGGAGCGGGGCCGAAGAGTGGCTGCAGGGACAGACACGGGAGAAAGGGCAGGACCCGATAACCGTGGACGAGATGCGAGTGCCAAGGACAGGGAGGTGCTGGGCTTCCAGGCAGGGCACCCAGGGCAACGACGGCCCGGTGCTGGGGGCGGGGCAGGAGGGTGCAGATTGGCAGAAACAGGGAGGTCACAGTGGCTCTTGGGGAGGGGGGCGGCCTTGTGGGGAAGGCAAGGAGTTACGGCTGAGGCGAGGGCAGGGTACCCAAGTTCACAAGCGCCCCAAACTTCGGGATTTGGAGGAGAAAGCAAGACAAGACGTGCCTGTTTTGAAGGGGCGTGATGGTGTGCACGTGTGAGCTTCTAGATTGGAGGCTGCGGCCCCACGTGGGCCGGGAGTAGGGAGCAGGACTCCGATGTCGTTAGCACAGCCCCGGAAAGGCCAGTCGGACAAGCAGGCGGGGAGCCCCGAGAGGAGCCTCAGGGGGCACAGGCCGGCCGCTGGGAAGCGTCCAACTCCCCTCGCGGTGATGATCGGTCATTTTTGCCTTTAAGAAATACAGATTTGGGGCAGCCGCCTGGCCCGGTCAGGTAGGCATCCAACTCTTGATCTCAGGATCGTGAGTTCAAGCCCCACATGGAGTCTCCATGCTGAGTATGGGGCCTACTTTAAAAAATAAAAAATAAATAAAAATAAAATTTTTAAAAAGGAATACAAATTCATTCTCTTTTTCATATGGAATTGTTCTCATTACTTCAACAAGTATTTATGGAGCATTGAGGTCTAGATGCTGTGGCAGGGATGTAGGCACGGGTGACGTGGATGAGTTGGGAAAGAGACCAAGGTAAGTTTGTGCCCTCCTGGAGCTTACATTCGAGTGGAAAAGGGAGATAAAGAAACGAGATCATTCCGCTGGTCTTAAGCACATCATGGAAAAATAAAGAGGAGGATGGATAGAAAGTCTCAGGCTGCTCCTTCAGACAGGCAGTCAGGAAGGGCTTCCCTGAGGAGGTGACCTTGGCGTCGAGACCTGAAACACAGATAGGAGTCAGCCATGCAAGGAGCTGGGGGAGGAGAGTACTGTGCAGAGGGAACAGCACGTGCAAAGGCCCTGAGGTGGGGCCGCGTTCCGCGCCTGTGGGTACAAAGGGGGCATAGGGCTACTGTTTGTCCTTGGCGTCACACCCAGCTCCCAGGGTCACGTGCATTCCTTCTGTTTCCCCAGCTCGTCATGGAGGAGCGCATACAGCTGCAACAGCAGGCCGTGAAGGCCCTCCATGAGGAGCAGGACTCGCAGAAACACGGATTTGAGACAGAAATCAGGGAATACAAGGAGCAAATCAAACAGCACTCCCAGACGATCGTGAGCCTCGAGGAAAGACTCCAAAAAGTGACTGAGCACCATAAAAAAATAGAAGGAGAGATTGCAACCTTGAAGGACAGTGACCCAGGTCTGTGCAAAGGGAAACTGAGGAAATCTGGGCGTTCAGGGCAGGCCTTGACCATCCGTGCGTCCCCATAGGCCGAGGGGTCAGAGAAGGCTGCACCTGGCTTGAAAGCTCCTTTTTCCCGGGAGGCACCGTCTTCTTCCCGGCACACGACACGGTTAGAGACGCTCGTGGCCCAGGTCAGACAGAGGTAACGACAGGCAGACGGGTCGTCCTTTGCGCGGAGCCAGCGGAGACGCAGGGCTGCGGGGGCATCAGAGCCGCGGCCACCGAGCATCTTCCCCACGTGAAAACCTCCCACGCGTGGGGCCTTTCAAAGGCCTCTCTGTGCCCTCGGCAATTTGCGACTTTGTCTGATGGATTCCCATAACCGCCTTTCCAAAGAAACCCAGAAAAACTCAGGGTTGTGCGCACTTACTGGCCCTTGATGGCCAAGGCGATGCAATGTCTTGCAAAGATGCTGGCTCTCGGGGGAGAGTTCTGGAAGCTGCAGCCTCGGGCCAGGGCTCAACCGGGTCGCTGCGGACATCTGGAACGGGCTAAGCCCTGGTGCTGGGGGCCGTCCTGCGCGCTGCAGGCGTTCAGCGGCACCCCGGCCTCCACCCACGGCGTGCCAGCAGCACCCCCGCCCCAGTGTCGCTACCAGAAACCCGAGGTTGCCGGATGCCCTGGGGTGGGGCAACCTCGCCCCTGATTGAGAACCAGGTCCTGCTCTCAAGCCTGCAGACGAGCTGTCAGGGCTCCCTTCGTGCTTTCATTCACCCAACAACCTTCATGGAGCATCTATTTGGCTCCAAGCCTGTTCTCGGCACTAGGGATTCAGTAGGCCCAGCAGGGTCCCTGCAGGTCACCAAGTGGCGGCCCTGACAGGTGGCCCAGGAGGAACAGGGCACCATGGCACGGGCGTGGGGCGTGGGGCATGGAGCAGGACTCAGTGTCCCAACCCAGGTCCAGGTCAGAGGGAGATGGGACCTGAAGGGTGACTCCTGCCTTGTCACCTCACATTTAGCTCAGAACCTGCCAGAAAGCAGACATTCCATTGTATCTGGCAAATGAGTAAATGGGTGACTGAGGATGAGGATGGAAACCAGAAGGCGGTGGACTGAGGAGTAAGTGGGAGATGAGGACAGGACAGGAGGCGTCTGGGAGGAGGTGTGGCCCAGTGGTTAGGGCTCCACCTCTCACCAGCGTAGTTGAGCGGCCACTGGCAGGGTCTGTCCCTTCTGTGCCCGTTTGCTCACCTGTAAACGGACTTCATGATCCCTGCCTCATTCCAGAGAAGCCGGAAAGATTTCATGAGCTCACACGTGGGGGTCTCAGCCTGAGCCACAGAACACGTGGTGGGGCTCACGAGATGGACAGAGGGCGACGGGGAGGGAGGGTGGCCACGTTGGCACAGACTCAGGTGCCCAGGGGAAGGAGAGGACCGTAATGACGCTCACGTGTCCCTCTGATTCAGCCCAGGAGGTGACGCAGCGAGAACCCCCAGCAGTGCCTCCGCAGGAGACCAGCGTCAAAGACGAAATGTGTGACACCTTGATGTGAGTACCCGAAGGGTGTGTGCACACCGGGCCAGAGACACCCCCACCCACCCCTTCTGGCCACGTCGTCAGAACTTACGAAAAAGGAGTCGAGTCCGGAGTCTTCTCACTGTCCTTCGAATTGCTCGATCCTCCAGCAGGTCAGGATGGTGTCATGGAAAGATCTGGGTGGATCTGCATTCAGATCCCGACTCACCCCTTCTGGTTGCATGGCCCTGGGCAAGTCCCATCCCCTCGCTGCACCTTAGCTGAATCGCTTGTGAAATAGGCAGGTGCTTGTCGTACCTCAACCTCAGACCGAACCGGGCTGGGAGCCTCTGTCCTGGCTCCGTGTATTTTCTTGCATCGAAGTGAATTTTTTTGTTTTGAGAATTTTTAACGAGCGCGCTTCCCCGCCGTGCGGGGTCTGGTGTCTGGCGGACCGGCCCTGACGGAGGGTCACTTTGCCCCTCCACCCGATCCCTTGCAGGCCCTGGGGACACCACAGAGTGACTTGGCCTGGCTTTGTGAATTTCAGAGGGGACCTGCTGACCGCCCAGAAGGAAATCCTGTCTCAGCAGGAGGTCATCGTGAAGCTAAGGAAAAACCTCACGGAAGCCCACAACCGGATGTCCGATCTGAGAGGTTTGTACGATGGCCCGTGTCTCCTCACTTCCTGACCCGCTTCGAGAAAGGAAAAAACAGGCTTCGGAGTTGGAAAGCTTAGCATTAAAAACCCCGCTGACCTGCTTTTCTGAGCTGTCCCAGCATTTGTACCTCGGCCAGCAAGACAGATGCCTTATCAGGGGGCCTCTGGGAGCATTCTCAGGAGCATTCTCAGAGGGCTTCAGCCCTCTGCCTCGAAGTGCAGCTTTCCTTTTGGGGAAAAAAAAATCCCCTTTGACCTCAGAGGAGTTGTCTCTGGAGGCAGAGCCTGGGAGGGAGGGCACAAACCCCAGTACCCCCAGCTCTGGGACCTAGAGCTAGGTGGTGTCTCTGTGCCTCAACGCACCTGTTTCCTGGAGCTGACTGGCCATCAGGGGCCCCCAGGGACAAAAGAGCTCGGACAGGTCTAGCTGAATATTCCTACTTTTCTTTTTCCCCGCTTCACCCCGCTTCACCCCGTCCCTTTGCTCCTAATAGCCACCGTCTCCTTCCCGGCCCCAGCCTCCATCGAGCCAAAAGGCACAGGCAGGCGGGAGTCGGGAGACAGAACTGGGTTTGGGGAAGCAGAGGGAGGGTGAGGAGCACTCCTCTAGTCTTGGCCCCAACCTAAACCGTGTGCACCCCCAAACCTTCAGTGGTGTTTGCTCCCCCTATGGCTGTGCTATCAATGCCCCCAAGGCACTTATGGCTGAATTTTTCAGAGTGATCGTCTCCACACTAAGGTATGAGAAAGTGTAGCAGAGAGGCTACGGGTCCAGTCCTAGACTCGTGAGACGCTGGACCCAGTTCTGGATCCGCTATTTATTTTAGTCACATGAGTTTTGGCAAGTGCTTCTCCCTCTCTGAGCCTGTTCCTGCACCTGTGAAGTGGGGGTGGCACCAGCAACTCACTCGTAGGGTTGCTGTGAAAATTCTGTGAAAATTGAAGCAATGCAAGTGTCTCAGTTTGGGTTTTCCCAGAGGCTGACCCTGAGACCCGAACTCTGCTGCAGGCCATGTGTTCAAGAGGTGATCCCAGGAACCAGCCCGGTGCAGGTGGATGAGAGTCAGGAAAGGGACCAAGGCAGATAAAGCTGGGCTGTCACTCAAAGCTGGAGCTGAATTCTGCAGGGGCGTGGGGGCAGCTCCAGGGAACAGGGTACAGCCCAGCCCCGGGTCCCCCACCCGAGGGGGAGAGAGTCGGGCTGTGTCTTCCAGTCTCACCTGTCGCAGATGGGGGCTCTTGCCCCCAGCAGTGCAACAGCAGAGCAAACCCCTTAGAACAAACGCCCTTAGGCAAACAGGTGCAGAGGCGGGCAGCTGAAGGTCAGCCAGGGAGCCCCGAAATGCCACAGGTGCAGAGGCACGGCCCTGACAGCTTCCGGAATGCCGGGCTGAGGCAGAGCTTTGCCGTCATTTGCCAAGACGCAGGCAGACCCCCTGGCCGTTATTCAGACCCCCCGAGAATTCCTGGAGGGTGGCCCCGCCTCATGGTTCTTGTAGGCCTGGCAGGTCTGCAGGGGCCCTGCAGAGACCCGAGGCCGGAGACCCCTCACCAGCTTTCCTGTCCCTCCCAGGGGAGCTTAGTGAAAAGCAGAAGATGGAACTGGAGCGGAACATGGCACTGGTCCAGCAACAAAGTGGCGAGCTGCGAGCTCTCAAGGAAAAGATGGCACATCTGACCGGCCTGGTGGAGAGGAAGGACAGGGAGCTGGAGCTCCTCAAGGAGGCGCTCAGGTGTGCGGGACGGCCCCCGTGGTATATGGAGCCCAGACGCACCCATGTGCCCAGAGGGCCTCCACAGGGAGGTCACCCAGCAAATGCTGAAGGGATGTAGGATGGATGGATGGATGGATGGATGGATGGATGGATGGATGGATGAATGGATAGGTGGATGGGCAGGTGGGCGGATGGATGGATGGATGGATAGGTGGATGGGCAGGTGGGTGGATGGATGAATGGATGGATGGATGGATGAACAGATGGGTGGACGAATGGATGGATGAACAAATCAATGGATGGATGGATAAGTAGATGGACAAATGGACAGATGGATGGATGGGTGGATGGACAGACGGATGGATCGATGGATGAGTGAGTGAATGAATGGATGGATGGATAGACGGATGGACGGATGGATGACATGTGTTTCATTACTTCACAACCTCATCACTTAAAGCAGGGTTTTGCTTAGTTCTGTGCTTCTCAAACATTCCTGCCCAGTATTCCAGATAACAGGTCTCAGCTTAAATGCCACTTCCTCCAGGAAGCCCTATGTCACTTACCATCACCAAACATAGCCAAGGGCTCCTACTCTGCCCAGGGTCCTCCAGGCCCTGCACTCCGCCCAACCTAACTTCTCACACAGCCAGGCTGCTATTGCCTGTTTAATTGTCTGCCTTCCCCAGAAGGATCCCCACATAGACCTTGCCTGCTGTTGACTCCCCAGCATTCACAGAGTACCTGGCACATAAGGAACTTTATAAATATTGATTGAACAAATGTATACACTGCGGTAGCCGAAGTCAGCTTAAAATAAATGTAAAATTTCATTGTCATTCCACGGATTAGTCTAGAAAATACATGCGAGTTTGCAGTTTCATCCATAACTTATCCTTATTTTGACCTAAGAGTAATCTTTTCTCCAAGAAAGGTTGAGTAAAATCCACATCGTGCGAGACCCTGTAGCCTCATATGCTTCATGGCTCGTGGCCAAGGCAGATTCCCACAGTGGTTGGAGACGCAGGCTGCCTGGATGCAAGGCCAGCCGCCTTCCCTTACAAGCCTCGTGACCACGGGCCAAGAGCTGTGAGCCTCTTCGCTCGTCTGTAACATGGAGCAAGGACGGTCCCCAACTCATGGGGCCTTTATGAGAAACAGAAGGGTCAGCACGTACAAAGGGTTAAAACGACAGACACGCAGCAAATGCCCCAGTAAATGCCACAACAGGTTCTCCCACAGACCCCGTGGGGGGAACAAGGGGGACAGATGCCTACCGCCCGGGCCACCATTTCTCAAGTCCCCTGAGAGCAGGCAGGAGACTCGAAGCCAGAAGGTTGCAACCCGGTTCCTTTTTCGGTTCCGCCAGTGGCTACAAAGGTCACTCGGGGTTCCTAGAACCTCGCGCTGCCAGCCATCGTGCTGTCCAGTGACTCATCTCTGCCCTAGGGCCTCCCAAGAGAAACAGAGAGTCCAGCTCTACAGGGAGAAGGAACAAAAGCCCAGGAACAAGACCCAGATGTGCGACATCTCGGTGCAGATCGAACCCGTCCACACTGACATTTCCTTGAGCAGCCAAGAGGTGAGTGCCACCCAGTCCTGGGCACTCGAGGTGGGGGGGACATGCTTAAGAAAGAGCCCAAGGGTGTCTGTCTCTGCTTCTGAAAACATTTTCATTCCAAGTCCCAACAATATGACTTGCTCACGCGGAACGTGCAGAGTAAGAAGTGCTAGTCCCGGCCATCCTCCCGCGGTCCCTGGAGGTCACCAGCCCTCGGCCTCACAGAGACTGCCCGACCCTCAGGCGCGACCCTGCAGTGTTCGAAGGTCAGCCGGGCTGCCCGGGTTCCGTCCCTGAGTGCGACTCCTGCACTCGGAAACGCTGACCCCGGGGAGGTTATCGTGTGCCGGCCCCCTTGCCTGGAAAGTAGGGGTGATGACAGCCACCGCCTCGGGGGGGTTGTAGAGAAATAAACTTGATTTATGCACACACAGACACACCCAACCTATAGATACGTGTTGACTTAATAGGTCTCTTTGCAAAATAATGGTACGGAGCCACGTATGTGCTGCACCGTGGTTTTCTCCCGCTGAGCACTACGTAAAGGCCTCTTTCCTAATAAGTGTATAAAGACCTATTTTGCTCTTTTAATTGAGTGCGTAGAATTCACTGCACCCCTTTTATCCGCCCTGTCCCCCACTGATGGACATTTAGGTTGTGTCCACTTTCCCACGTTGCTATAGTTAGTGTCCTTGGAGGTGTGTCCGTAGGACAGATGCCAGATGTGACCATGCTAGGTCCAGGGGGCATCCTAAATCGGGCTTGATGGGGCCGGACCGTGTTCCCACTCATGCTCCAGGGCTGTCCCTCCGCGGCTTCTCCCGGGGTGCCTGCCCAGAAGCCTTTGCAGCCCTGGAAGCCCGAGCCGCGCAGCCCACGGGGCGCACGTCTTTGGGTGAGGACCGCCTTCGCCACGCCGCCCCCGAGGTGCCACCCACACTCACGAAGGCTGACTGTGGGCTGCGGCGTCCCCTTGAGGCCTCGGGTTTCCTGGAGTCCGGGGACATCCTCTTCCCCTTTGCTTTATGAAATGAGAGAACAGGGCATTTCAGTAACGGGCTTTGGATTTTCACTTGGCAACGGGGCCAAATGTGTCAGCTTGCCTTCCTGCTTTCTCCAAGATGCCATTCCCCTGCCAAACAGCAGTGAGCCGGGCCTCACACAGCTTGGATGAAAGGCCCGGCGGCCCAGCCAGCTGGCCTTGGCACAGCGCTGTCCCCAGCGCCGTCAGAGAAGCCAGAGGGGCCCGGGCGGTCCCACGCCCTGAGCCCGGGGTTGGGGGTGGCAGGGAGCGCTTCTCCCTCCTGTCGCAGACCTGATGGGATCCCGAGCTCTTTAGTGCACGACCCCGCCCGCGTTCATGCATTGGTTCAACAACTATTGAGTGCCCGCTGTATGCCAGGCCCAGTGCTGGGCGCAGAGGCGGGCACACAGGGCTTCTGTTCACATCAGACCCCCCTGCGACCCCGCACGAGTTTGCTAGAACGGATCATTGCCTGGACGCTGAGATTAGTAGTTCCTCTTATGAGGCAGGATTCGCTGAAGAGGATCGGGGGAGGGATTAGCTGCAAGATAAAAGGAAAGAAGTATTTGTTCTTTCTCCGAATGGCTTTCCAAACGCAGGCTAATTCCTGCTTGCTGAGCCAGAGTGGGTCAGAGGGCTTAAGAGTTGTATGAGAAAGAATCTCCATCTTTAAATAAACAAATTCCCAGAAGAGCCATGAGTAAGGGTCACATCGGGCTCAGGCATGAATAAAGGCTGTCACCGAGAGCCTCGCTGATGTCGCTGCCCCACCCCCAGGTCAGTAGCCCCTCCCCTCTCCTCCACACCCCTGCACATGTGCCCTTACACACACACATACACACACATACAGGACATGCCAGGGTAAACATACATCCTCAAAGACAGCAAGGCCAGTGTAGAAGCCACCTGGGAAGAGTGGACCAGCCATGCAGCGTATAAGCAGGCTGAAGGCAGTGTCAGGGTCAAATGAGGTCCTACTCAGTGCAGCCAGGGGTGGAGTGCCCCCTTCTTTTTGCTGCTGAGCCCTGGTCCCAGCCAGGAAGCTGAGACAAGCTCCTTCCTGCTCCTGTTTCTGACCTCAGTTCATTCAGGCTCCATAATTATTGACCGTCTACTAAGCTCGGGCACAGTGCTGGGCCCTGGGAACACCACAGTTTCCAATGGAGACAGGACTTGGCTCTCACAGAGCCCGTGGGGTGCATGGAGTCCGTTACTGGGCTTCAGGGGCACCCTGAACCTCCAGAACCTGTATGCAAATTTTTTATTTTTTTTTAAGATTTTATTTATTTGTTTGAGAGAGAAGGAGAGAGAGAAGCAGAGCGAGGGGCAGAGGGAGAGGGAGAAGTGGGCTCCCCACTGAGCCAGGAACCTGACTCGGGGCTCGATCCCAGGACCCCAAGATTATGACCTGAGCAGAAGGAAGACACTTAACCAATTGACCACCCAGGCCCCCCCCCCCGTATGCAAACTTTTTTAAGATTTATTTGTTTGAGAGAGAGGGCACACGTGCACAAGCATGGGGGGGCGGCGTGCAGGAGAGGAAGAGAGAGGACCCTCACGTAGACTCCCCACCGCGTGCAGATCCCAGCACAGGGCAGGATCCCGGCGACCATAACCTGAGCTGAAACCAAGAGTCGGACACTCAACCAACTGAGCCACCCGGGTTCCCCTGTGTGCAAATTTGTGTGTGTCTGGGAAGTTCTTTGAAAGGTATAACTTGCATTCTTCAAAATCTGAAAGGTGGGGATCCCTGGGTGGCGCAGCAGTTTAGCACCTGCCTTTGGCCCGGGGCGCGATCCTGGAGACCCGGGATCGAATCCCACGTCGGGCTCCCAGTGCATGGAGCCTGCTTCTCCCTCTGCCTGTGTCCCTGCCTCTCTCTCTCTCTCTCTCTGTGTGACTATCATAAATAAATAATAATTAAAAAAAATCTGAAAGGTGGACCAGACCCTTAAAAGAGGGAGCAGGCCTCCCCTTGGCCATGCCCTTCATAAGCCCTACTCAAGCGCTGTGCCCAGTGGCTGCCATACTGGATAGCACAGATATAGAACATTTCCCTCATCCCAGAGAGGCCTGTGGGTCAGTAGAGCCTCCAGAAGTCTCGGAGGAAGCTTTTCCTTTCTCCAGACCAACGCGAGCCAGTCCATCAAACTCCCCCTAGCAAATATCGAACAGCCATCCTTATTACCAGTCAGGAAGAAAGTACCATGCCATGTGTTCTCATCTAAAAATGCCCCTCCTGGAGCAGAATCAGAATTTGATGTGATTATCCCGAGACGAGACCCAAATGACAACAAATGGAAACCCAAGCTTAGACGAATATTAGAAGAAAATATAAAACACGGGGAGGGAACATAGAGGGGGTTTTCATTTATAGATATGCTAAGTAGGTAAGAGAGCTGGAAATCTTCCTAGATGCGACTTTCTATTTGAAATGAAGAATTTAAATTTCCTTCTGTGCTAAAGCCCCTTACAGTAGCTTCCAAGGTACTAAGTGACAGGGCCTCTGCCAGTCATGAATTGTACATGTTTCTTGGAACATAAGAGTCTGACCCCTAATAAAGCCGCCTTCCGCACCGTTCTGGCCCTAGGAGCAATCCTTCAGTGATCTGGGGGCCAAGTGCAAAGGGTCCCGACATGAGGAAATCATTCAGCGTCAGAGAAAGGCCTTGTCTGAACTGCGTGCGCGAATTAAGGAGCTGGAGAAGGCCTGCTCATCAAGTAAGTCCCCTCCCTGCTGGTCTCCCACTCCCCGCTCAGATCCCTGAGCCCCAGACTCTAGAGGTCACTCTGGGCACTGACAGTCGGCCAGGACCACCCGCTTCTAGCCCATCACTTCATAACCAAAGGACGTTGTAATACAAGGAAAGATGGCAGGCATGGTCTCAGAGTCAAGGGCAAGTCTTCATCTTAAATAAATGGGATTTCATGAAAAACTCACTACATTGTCCTTTTCCTTATTTCGCTGTGGCCCGAACTTTGTCCTGGACTAATACTGCAAGAATCAGCCCCAGGGGAACCTCCTAGAATACTCTGTTTAGAGGGGATAGCGTTCTCAAGACACCGCACCTGCTGCTGGCAGGAATTCAGAAGCCGGGGTTCAAGTTCCATCCTGGTTCCTGTGGCTGAAAGTTCACCGTCCATGCCTCGACATTGGCTCCTGCGAGGCCGCAGCCTCCTCCTAGCTGTGTGTGACCTTGGTCAAGCCATTTACCTGTCTAGACCCATTTCTCACCTGCCAAGGGAGGGCGGAGATTACTGGCCCGCAGTAAAGGACCAGTAAACAGCAGCTGTGATTTCTTTTTTAAGGGCTTATTTATTTATTTGAGGAGCCGGGGGTGGGGCTCGGATGGGAAAGAGAGGCAGAGGGAGAGGGAGAAGCGGACTCGCCGCTAAGCGAGTTGGGGAGCCCAACTCGGGGCTCGATCCCAGGACCTGAGCTGAAGTCAGATGCTTAACCCACCGAGCCACCCAGGCGCCCCAGCAGCAGTGATTATTATGTGCAATAACTCCTTCCTGGCCCTTTCTTTTGACTCTCAATTGTTTATTTTATAGATCATAAGGACCACCTGAGTGAATCACTTCTAGACTTACAGACTGTCAGAATGGACAAAAACGTCCAGAAATTATTGGACGCAAAACCTGATGATTTGCCGACTTTCTCAAGAATAGAGATCGGAGCGGTAACCAAAGAAAATTTATCTCTGCGGTGACACGTGGAGAGGGTGGGCGTGAGGGCGGACACTAGCCGCGTGCCCTGGCACGGCCACGCGTGTCTGTGGTTTGGAGCCAGGCCTCCCTGGTAGGCCGGCGTCTGTGCCACCTGCTTGGTGCTTTGCCGTACCGGTAGCCCCGTGTCTGAACAGAGAGCTTCCTTTCCACCTGCGCCCAGAGTGTTAAATCACACGCACGGACGCTGGACCAGAGCGATCTCTGGTGGGCCCTCCTTTTCACAGGATGTGTTATATTCCGCAGAAAATATTCAACAGGCTAATTTTTAACATTATGCCATGAGTTTGCCTGAAGTTTGCTTTTCACGGCCAACTGGAAAGCACAAACACCTAAAGGGTAGCAGGTGGGTTGACGAAGAGGACACAAGTTCTAGAGTCAGAGGGACCAGCCTGCAAGCCGTGTGACCTCGGGCGGGCTCTTAGAGGCTTTCTGGGAGGCTTTATCCCAGCTGCGAAACGGTGAAAACCTAGAGGCCGCAGTGTGAAGGGCTGACCCCCGCGTCTCGCTCAGAGCACACACTTCATAAATGATCGCTGTTCTGGTTGTTTAATAGTATTTAAATGGTGTCACTCAAGAAAACCTTCTTCTCTTAAGGGAAATAGTTTTCTTTGCTAGGATTTTCAAAAGGGATTTGGCTGTTATGTTGGAGGTGCCCTGGGCCCTAAACGGATGCTCGGTGGGCGCCTGACTGACACCTGACGGTGCACCGCCCAGGTCAGCGTCAATCGCGGGGTCTGTGGGCCTGGCCTGCTGCCACAGCCGCATCTAAACCACGCATAGGCTTTTAGAAGACATTCCAAAGTCATCCCATCCGTACCGACATTCCCCTGCCCAGTTTTTCTAGACATTTGCTAGGGTTGCGAGTCTTCGGGAATACGCTGCCTTTCCCATTCTCCGAGGTCGGAAGCGGAGGGGACAGTCCCCAGGTGGGGAGCTCAGCTGGCTCTCACAGCCTGACCTCTAAGACTCACCTTCCCCCTAGCGCTGACCCTCTGCCCCCACCACCACCACAGAGCAGGAAAGCCCCCAACCCTCTCAGAAGACCTCGATCCTCCAAGGTTGGCAATAATGCAAATTAAAAAGAAGAGGGAGAGCAGCAGGAAGGCTCGCTGACATCTATTAAGTGCTTGCTGTGTGCCAGGCACGGAGCTAAGCTATCATTTATCATTCAGCCAGTTATCATTCGACCCTCACAGCGGCCTGGTGACAGAGTTACTATTATATGATCCCTGTTCTGCAGATAAGAAAAGTTAAGACTTCATGCAGTCAAGAACTTCACCCAAGGTCACGGCGTAATGACCGATGGAGCCAGGACTGGGTCCCTGGCCGCCTGTCCCTAGCTCCCTGCTAATCTGCAGAGAAGGGCGTGGGCACCGTGTGATTGGACATTGTAGGCCAGACTCTGCCTTAGGTGACCCTCCATCAGGAAAAGAAGGGGAACCTGGAGCAGGGTGCAGAGGATACCACCCAGGGCTAGAGACCCAGAGGGGTCCTTCGGGCTCTGTCCTCCTCAAATCCCCTCCTTCACACTCACGGCTCTAGATGTAGAGACAAATCTCACATGCTTATCTCTCAGAGTGACTTTCTGAGCCTTTACAGTTTTGTAGTTGGGTTTTTCTAGTCTCAGAGGTTTACAGCGTGGTGCCAGCAAATGCTGCGGCTGGCAAGCACTTAAAACCCAGTTTGCTTTTTAGGGAGATTTATTACAGTTATTTGTGGTCCTTCGGACTCCCTGATCCATCAGGTGGCTTTTCTGTACAATCAGCAGGGACTTTGAGCCGCCAGCTGGCAGAGAGGGTGTCAGTGAGGGCACAACTGTAAACACCACTGGGCCTTGTTTCTGGAATGGGTCTGAAGTGACGCTCGCCCAGGAGCTTCCAGCACTAGGAGAGGGTCTGGCCAAATGTGGTGAGGGAGGGTGTAGGTTCTGTTGCCTATAAATGAGATTCCTTTAATAAAAGGAGGAAGGCTATTTCCTCTGCCCACTCTGTGCCACTTTACCAGGTGCCATGCTGGGCACAAGAAATGGAACCGTGAACAAAAGCAATACGACCTCTGTTTTTATGAAGCTTGTCATCTAGACTGGGGTTTCTCGACCCGAGCACTACTGATATTTTGAGCCAGGTGATTCTTTGTTTGGGACACCATCCTACACACTGTGGGATGTTTAGCAGCATCCCTGTCCTCTAGTTGCCCAATAGTACTCCCCACCTCCTCTTGCAATGACCGATACTGTGTCCAGGCATTGCAAAAAGAGGTCCTGGGGCACGCAGGGGAGGGTGGACGAGATCACCCTCAACTGAGAACCGCTGGTCCAGAGGGAAGATAGAGAACAAGGCAAACGATGTGCCATTTCAAAGGGAGTCACATTCAGAAGAGTAGGAGCGCAGTTCCCAGAAAGCAGTTGACAGGGGCATCAGACTGGCTGGACAGGAACTGAAATGAAAACCGACTCTCCCAAGTCATGCTTCGGTACCCACGGCGCTTTATCTCCGGGATGAAGAACCGCACAACGGCGTGCCAAGAGCGTTTTTGCCTCTTTTTTATTTCAGCCTCTGAATGGCCTTGCCAACTCAGCCATCCCGGCCACCGAAAAGTCCAGGAAAATGGATGTGGTTGAGGCTTTAGATCTCAGTGAAAAGCTGGTATGTACATACAGCACCGTCCCCTCCCGTCCAAACCTGGGTCCCCCACCGTCATCGTTAACCACCGGGGAGTTTAACTAAACATCAGCCTCGCACACGTGTTCGGTGGTTATAATAGCTCCTCCGCAAGACCCATCTACTCGCCCAGCATGGGTCAGACATTACACAGGCCAGTTCCTTGAAACACGAGGTAGTTAGAATGAATGTTTATGTCTGTTGTCACTTTTCCTCCTGGTTCTCAAAAAGGCGTAGCATAAAGGGATGTGGAGTAAATGAAAGGATCACGAAAAGCCCAGTTGCACTCGCTCCCGAGCGTGTGTGTGTTCTCTGCAACTGCAGAAAATGAACAAAATGGAGTGAGGTGTTTGCTTCCTCAAAGCAGCCACCGGCAGTCTCGGGCCAGGCCTCTTATCTGCCAAACGCTCTCCTTGTAGTACATGGACATGAGCAAGACGCTCGGGAGTCTGATGAACATCAAGGATATGTCGGGTCACATATCCATGAAATACCTGTCCCCAAAAGAGAGAGACAGAGTCAACGAGCTCCGACAAAGGGACCTCGATCTGGTGTTCGATAAGATCACCCAACTCAAGAACCGGCTGGAGAGAAAAGAGGAGCTTTTGCGAGGATACGAGAAAGACATAGAACAGCTCAGGTACCGTCGGGGACCCCGCGGAAAGGGCCAGGTGTCCGCGCTCAGGGCAGCAGCAGATGCAGGTCCCCGACAGGCAGAGGCCTTGGGGGAGGGGGCGGGGGGGGTGATTACTGGGGCCTGATGGGGCGGTGGGGGGGGGTCTGTCTATGGGAAAGCAGCGGCTGAGGTGCTCAGTGTTCACTCTGTCCTGTGTCCATGAGCAAGCTGCACCTCACGTGGATTCTGACTTGGGGTTCACCGTATGTACCTTTCTGAGCCCCACCCGGTTTCAGAGGCTGCAGTCCCCCTACACCCTCCCTGGGAAAAGGGGGAGGAGCCTGGGGGCATCCCCTCCAGCTACACTTAGGCACCCGAGGAGCCCTTTACTCTGCCTCATTCGCCCCAAATCTGCTCGCAATGAAGCCACTAAGCCGCAGACGGAAGTATTCTGAGCCTCTCCCGGGTTGGGACCGCTGATGGCGAATGAGAAAGAGGAGGGGGAAAGAGACTGTGCCTCTCCCCTCCGCCCAGGCAGAGCAAAGTGTCCGTGCAGATGTACCAGTCGCAGGTGGCAAAGCTGGAGGACAACATCTACAAAGAGGCGGAAGAGAAGGCTCTGCTGAAGGAGGCTTTGGAGCGCATGGAGCACCAGCTGCAGCAGGAGAAGAGGATCAACAGGGCCATTCGGCAGCAGAAGGTGAGGGGTCCTTGCTTGCAGCAGAACCTCGGGGGCTGCAGCCCCTGGACTCCCTTTAGAAACGGCAAAGTGAGGGCCCAGGGGATCCAGGCAGCATAGAACACACTCACTGATGCAAAGGAAGGTGCCAGACACACCGAGGCGGATTTCTTCACCTCTCTGAAACTCATAATCTAGCTCATCTGTATCATTTTAAATCGTGGCTCGTGTTTGTATTTTTACTGTCCTTCCAGGTGGTAGGGATACATAGACGGATAAGTACCTGTGCCTAAAGATTTGGGATCACTAATCTGAGTGCTCAGAACATAGGTGACATCCAATAAACATTGATGGACGGATGGATTGCTGGATGGACCGATTCTCAGGCAGATGGATAGATGGATGGGTGAGGATAGATGGGTGGATGTCCTTGGCCATATCCTTTAGGCCAGAACAGTCAGAACAGAGCTGACTTCCAGCTGATTTAATGATTCGAAGTCTCTGTCTAAAGGGCGCTCAGGCTGTGTCACCCAGAGGCAGGCACTCAGCCAGCCCAGGGCATGCCGGGAGCGGGAGCGCTTTCCAAGTGATGACACCTGTACTGGGTTTCGAAGGAGAGTTGGAGTGGGTCCACCAGAGGCGTGGGCGGGTGCGCGCTGCAGGCTGTGGGCCCCCCCGCCCCGGGAAAGGCAGGAGGAGAAGTGATGGGGCTCCGGCAGGAGCCTGCTGTAGCGCTGCCTTGAGAAACCAAGGTTCCAGACTCGGACTCAGACTGGTGATGCAGCCAAAGCCCCCTCCTCCCCTCGCCCCATTATCTCTTCTGTCACACGGCGCAGAAGCCAGTGAGGGTCACGTCCCCCCCACACTAACTAACGTGCGGCCTTGTGCAAATCCATTCCCCTCCTTGAGCCTTGTCTCCTCGCCCGCAAACAGCAGCCGAGCGCCCCGGCCCTGCAGGTTGTTGGGACGATTGCACGCAGGCAGGAACCCTCCCTAGCCAAGCTTGCACAGCGTGGACTCACAGGCCACGTGGTTTCAGAAGGTTGGGGACACTTGTGCTGCCTCTGAAGCATGTGGCCCAGGGCCTGGCCCCGGCGGGTACACGCTGCTGTCTCAGAGCCCGCAGAGGCGCAGCGGACAGCGGGCACACGGGGGCGGCACCCAGACAAGCGCTGGGGGACCCGCCAGCAGACCTCCACCTGCCCCCCCACCCCGGGTGGCAGGGGGGCTCTGTTGTCTCCTCTGCAGTTCACACCCACAGCCACTCGCTCCCACCTTCACTTCCAAACCAGACTCCCCCTCGTTCTTAACCCTCGCCTAAGGTCGAGCAGGTTCAAGACTGAGATTAGACACACGAGGGGAGTTACCATCAGCACCATCTCAGGACCACCTACAGGCCCCCCGCTTTGCAGCCCCGACCAGCGTTACTGGTGCCTTGGTAGCTAGGCCTGGTGGGGGGGGTGTGCCTTGGTAGCTAGACCTGGTGGGTGTGATGACCCCCACTTCACTAATGAGGAAATTGAGCCTTGGGAAGTTAAGAGACTCGCCCAAGTTCACACAGTAGCTGGCAAGGGGAGCCTAGACCTGGCCCCAGACCTCTGACCCTAGTTTCTGTGCTCTCTCCTGGGCTCTCCCACTCTTCTTATAATTGTTTGTTTTCCTGACTCAGGGCTGTGTATTTGTGCGCGTGTATACACGTGCACGTGCATTTAAGTGTGAATGTGCTATATGTGTGTTTGTGCATGTATATCTGTGCGTTTGCATGTGTGTGTTTTCATGTGCATGTCTGTGTGTTGCCTGCATCAGCTCTAAGGAGGCCAAGCCAGAGAAGGCTCTAGAAGGGTGCCCTCCTCCCTAACCTGCTCAGATAAGTTCCTTGCAGGGGGCTGCCCTCCATCCTGCAAACCTTCCAGACTCCTTGGCTTGTAGAAATGAAGGCAGCGTCTCCTGCTCTGAGGGAGCCCCAGATGCACGGTTTCTAGTGTCCACAGCCCTGAATTAAACATCACAAGCCTCAGGCCGAGGACAATTTCCTTTCACACCATGCAAAGTCGGGGAGAGCCGGGCCAGTGACAGAGCTCTGACTTTTCCTTTGATGTGCCCTTTGGAGAGCTCACCCCTCCCTAAGGTGCCCCCACCCCAGGACTTGGCAAGCTAGCCCCTAAAGCCGAAACACCAGACCACAGAATGGGACAGCAAAGGGCCCAAAAAAGGCCATTGTCATGTGCTGGCTAAAAATGTAAGAGAACCTGAGGATTTACATAATCAGGCTTTACATGCATTATTCATGAGCTGCCTCATTCATACACAATGCAGGGGCCGTGCCAGCCTGTTGGGCACTAGACATCCTTCTGTGGAGAAGGATCTAAAATGGCCAAGTTGAACCTCCGTCTGTGTCCCCAGAAGAGCTGGAACTGGGAACGTTCAAATTCAGGGAATTCACAGTTTAGGGAAAGATTATGAAAAGTACAGCCACAATCACAGCAGTGCTGATGGCGTTATTTACTGAGCGCCTCCGAGTGGCAGGCACCTGCTCCACACGGCGTGTGCTTCGTCCGTCCCATCAGCCCTGCAAGGGGTGCTGGCGCCTGTCCATCCATTCAGAGAGGCTGACAGAGGGCAGCGTCACCTGGCTGCCCAGCAGCAGAAACGGGACCACCCACCCCCACCCCCAGCCCGGGCCTGCTGCCCTCCCCAACTCAAGTTCACGTCTTCACACCTGTTGCTCTTGGCACCTCCCTTTCTGGGAGGCAGCCCCCCACCCCACTCCCCACTCACCATCACTCCAGGGCCTGGGTTTGCTATTAATAAGGTTTGTTATTAATATGTTGTCAGAAATTCCTGTTTGCCGGGAGATAAAAACTCATAAATTTTTAAAGTTTAAAAAAGGGATCCCTGGGTGGCGCAGCAGTTTGGCGACCCAGGATTGAATCCCACGTCGGGCTCCCAGTGCATGGAGCCTGCTTCTCCCTCTGCCTGTGTCTCTGCCTCTCTCTCTCTCTGTGTGTGACTATCATAAATAAATAAAAATTAAAAAAAAAATAAAAATAAAGTTTAAAAAAAATAAATTCTAAAAAAATAAATATAAATAAATAAATAAATAAATAAATAAATAAATAAATAAATAAGATTTAAAAACCATAAATTCTAAAGGCAACTTGTATTCACCTGTCTTGGCCTCAGTTCCTTCCAAGGACTATATTCGTTATTTAAATGGAAGCTCGAGAAAAAAAAAAAAGAAAAAGAAAGAAATGGAAGCTCGAGGAAAATAGAATTCCTTTTGGTTTTAACTTTTACGCCTAATATTTTCACAAGGACCCTTAACGTTTCCAGTCTCGTGTATAAAATTTCACCCGTTCATAGAGAAGGAGTGGTTGAACCACTAGTTAATGAAATTATTCCCCTTGAGCTTCAGAACCAGAACTCTCCTCAAAAAAAGGGGGGAGGAAAAAAAAGGGGGGGAGGAGGGGTTTAAAAGTAAGATGTAGTTTTTAGTTTGATGTTTGAACATCTCTTCACCAAGCAGAACTTTCTGGAATCCTACTTCCACGCTCATACCTTTGGCTGTGAAAATGAGACTTGATATAAAATGCAGAGAAAACCTCAGGGCCAGGCATTCACAGAGAACCTTGCTCTGGAGTCTGGGATGCCCTGGGTCTGGCGCGCTCTCCAAGTGACACGGCGACAATGACAGTGGCCCAGGCTACGCTCAGTCTCATCCATGCTAGATAAGGCAGCTGTGTCCCTCAGAGTTGAGAGGCTGCCTCTGAAGCCCAGCAAATAGGGTTTAAGCCCCACCTCTGGCCCCGAGTGACCCTAAGAGGCCCAGGCCCTGTGTCTCAGGGTCCTCCCCGAAAACAACCAAAAATGATAACAGCGGGCCCCGGGAGGGCTAAATGACCTAATGCCGCAGTGCCCGGTGCAGAGCATGCATGGTCACCGCAGGGGAGAGAAAGGACAACTGCATCTCTTCCAGAGAGCTTCCTGCCAGCTGACACAGGCCGCCAACCCGAGCTGCCTTCCCGCGCCTGCGGCCCGCAGCTCTTTGTGCAGCTCTCCTTTGTGGCTGGCGAGTGCAGCTAGGGCCGCGGCCAAGAGCAGCTCAGATACTGTCTGTGAATGGGTTAAGGCTGGAATTTTCTTTCTTTCTTTTTTTTTTTTTTTTTTGGAATTTTCAATAGGAAATTTTTAAATGCACAGAAGTTGCTGTTTGGGAAGCAGGCAGCCCCGGCCCCCCTTCCTGAACCTTTATTTAGCATTTCAAGTGGGAGAAAGGCTCAAGAGCCTGGGCTGGCTGCTGGGGAAACCCCTTAGTTCTCCTGCCAACCAAACCTCGGCCAGGGACATGGCCACCAGGTTGCCAGGTGGGGTGGAGTCAGCCCAGCTGGACCTTCCCTGGGCTTAATTAGCTCAGGTCCCTCATCTTAAGATGAGAGTAAAGGCGGCACCTAACCCAGTGCGTTTGCTTCGAGGAGGGCACGGGCACAAGACCCTGAGCACACAGGACCCCTGGATCCAAGCTCCTACACTGACATCGATGTCATCACTATCTCATTTAAATCACGATTTTCCAAAATTTTCTTGGGCCCCAGCATTCTCGAGATCGAGGTTTCTTCAGTGCCACTGGCGTGATTCTGACCAAGGACTCGAAATCGGTAGATGGTGTGTGGGATGAGACCGGGTGGGTAGGCGTGGGGGCGGCGCCCTCTGGCCCACACAAGGAGGAGAAGGTAAAAGGTGGTTGGGCCGGGGCAGCAGGTGAATAGGAGATGAAGGCCCTCCCCACCCTTCATCTTCTGCCCACCGATCCAGTGAGCCCCAGGGTCTCCCAGAAACCTCGGAGGGGTGTCCCAGGACGGAACGGGACAGGACACACTAAACGCTCTCTTGCACACCTGCTATTTTCACTCAGGAACGTTTAGAGGATCATGAACAGAGAAATTCAAAAGAATCAACACCTTGCAACTGTTCCTTCAAAGAAAAAGAGAGGCAGGTATGGAGAGGTTTCCTGGTGTCGCAGCCAGACACAAAGTAGATACCGTTGGTTTTTTTGTTTTTTGTTGTTTTTTATGAGTGAAGCCGGTGGGTGTGCCTGCCAGCTTGTGCTGGTCTGGGAGCATCCACGCACCTCCACGCACCTCGCTGCACCTCCACACACCTCCACGCACCTCCACGCACCTCCCCTCCCCGCCCCCGCCCCTCCCTTGCCTGTCATCTGAGCAAATGACCTAAGTGACAGGCCAGGGTCCCGGGCACTGTCTGGAGGTAAGGCGCTCGGAAGCGCCCTGCAGTTTGGGCTGAGCAACCACCCTAGGCATGAAGTGATCTACGGACTTGGAGATGGTTCATGAGAAAAGAAGAAGAGAGGGGTGGGGACCCCCACGAGCCCCTGCCCTAAGAGTGCAATAAGTAGGTGGGCACGAAGTGGAGCCAGGAGTGAGGAGGAAGGTGCCAGCTCTCCCTACCTGGCAACAGGGAGCCGCACTTGACAGGGCTTTCTGGCAGCCGGTGGCATCTGGAAAACCCAGAGGTCACAGTGTCCACGAGCTACCGATGGATGCAATGCTCGGAAGTGTTCTTAAAGACCGTGCTGGATTTCCCCCTAGAGAGGACACTGCGTGGTATAATGAACAACATCCCTAAGAAGAGCAGCACAGTGTTGGCTGGGCCGTGTCTGAGGACGGGTCTGGAGACAGACTATTGTCATTACAGCCCAGGGAGTTGAGGAAAGTTCAGTAAAAGCAGGGGCGCAGGGGCCAGGATCTGCCCTCTGGTGCTCAGCTGCTTCCACTGATTGGATTTAATCCAAGGAAGAGGTTTTAGGGCAGTGCTCAAACTGGGGTTCCCTGGAGCCCTTGGATGCCATGGAAGGGTGTGACTCTCAACATCCCCACCCCACCCCACCCCCACGCACGTACACACACACACACACACACACACACACACACCTTGTTCCTCCCAGCAAAGTTCTCCTTTATCTGTTTTACAGGCCAAATTCCTCATGGAATTTTGCTTCAAGCATTCTGCTGGGGGAGGGGGGGTGAGAAAAAAAAAAGAAGGAAGGCAGATTGCTGGTTTAAAAACTGCTGCTTTACAATTATCTGGGAATTTGGTTGGTGACTGTCTTCTAAGCTTAACTCCTCTCAACTGGGCCCAAGGCCTTCTCCATGAAAAACGCCCGGAGGACAGCTCAGGTTGATACAGGCCCCAAGCCTTCTTCGACCAGTTGCTCTAAGGGCAAGGTGGCACCCTTTAGAGGGAAGGGAAGAGACTCACAAGTACTTGTCCCCTATCCAAAAGATGGCCCTGCTCGCTTCCTCCGGGAGTTTTGCGAATACCCAATAGAGTTGCCAGATTTAAGGGCAAGGAAAACAAAACCGGATGCCCGGTTAAACTTGAATTTCAGATAAACAACAAATAGCTATTTAGTGTAAGTATGTCCCAAATACTGCACGAGACATACTTATACCAAAAAATTCTTTCTTTCCACTCTGAAAATCAAATTTAACGGGACATCCCGTCTTTCACCTGGCAACCCCACCAACAGACATTTACTGAGCACCAACTGGAAGCCAAGGGGGCAGGCTCTGAAGCAGATGACACAACACGGCAGTCCACGGAGGCGTTTCATTTGGCTCATGGGTTTTCCTTTCTTTGGGGGGGGGGGTTAAGTAATTCCCAAATAGGGCATTTTCACAAAATACTCAGGATTTCCGGTGTCTCTGGGCACCCTGAGGGGCGGTTCTAGCCCCTTGGTACCACAGCTACCATCTTCCAGGCCCCCTAGAAAGGCACTGGGCTTGTGGGTTTGCCGCCTTCCCCACCCAGCTTGCTCCACCTACTTCTTCCACTTCCTCAGCCCCTATAGGCGCCTGACTGGTGCCTCCAGCAGATGCTGAGGACTGTCCGAGGCACACCCCCTTCCCAACACCCCTGCTCTGTCCCCAGCCCGCCCTCACTGTTGTGTCCCCAGCATCTAGGAGATCCCAGAGGTGCAGGGTCTCGAGGAGACCAGGGTCAGCAGCTGCCGTCAAACCCCAGGGGAAGGGCCAGCTCCAGATTTGCCATGAGGCTGGCTCCCGAGCAGGTGCTCCTGCAGTCCCGGACAGGGAGGTTAGCCACTGTGGCTCCCATCATGCCCTGGGCTGCTGGGATGCCTCGGTAGAAACCCACGTCTTCAGCTTCTTCCATCGGTGTGGGAGGGTCCACTTCCACCCAAGGCTGATTTGTCCTCCAGAAGGCTGCGATATTCCTCCAAGGGCCCTCGCTTGACAGGGCTCTCCTCCTCTCAGATTCCTCTGGAATCCAGAACAGAGATCCCCCAAGGAGCCCAGCAGGCCACTGTAGCAGAGCCTGAGAGCCATGCCCCCTCCTGCAGACGCACCTGCTCAGCCCCAATCCCTAGGAAGGCCCAGCATCATCCAAATGGGTAACATCTGAAAGTTGAGTGGGGAAAAAAAAAAAACACTTCTCTTTGATGTAAAAGGGAAATAAGGGCAAAAGCTAAATTTTGTCCATATTCTTTCTGTATTCAAGAGACGAATGTTTGTAGAGACGGTGAAGAAAAAGATGCAGAATTCAAGTTTCCAGGTGAGCTAGAAGGAGAAAGAAAACAGTAGGACGTCAGCAGGAAACCCAGGTTGACAATAATACCCCATCCGTGACGTACTGAGCATTTAGTGTGTGCCAGGCACAGAGCTACGCACTCGACAGGCATTATGTCTCGTTCGATCTCCGTAACACTGGGGGTACGTATTGTTCTCATATCTCCATTATCGGATGAGGTGTCTGAAGTGCAGAGACTTT